TTGCAATGCTAGCAACTTTGGACTCGGGTATGTATAGATGATAACTTGTCAAAATGTTGAAGATCTCCCTTTCTCCCATGACAGTAGCTTTATACCGAAAAATGCAGGGATGTGTCTTAACTAAAGACGTCAATAAAGCGATATTGATTAGTGATGCAATGGAGACTGGGACAGTACAGATCAGTTCTGCACCAGTCGGTGGACCTGATCATTTCCCTTTTCAGGTAAATAAAATCTACAAAACCCCACTTGGAATACTTTTCTTCTTAGAATATTGGCTTCATGAACTCTAACAAATGCTTTGCTAACAGGGTCTAAAAGACAGTGGAATCGGGTCACAAGGGATTACCAACAGCATTAACATGATGACAAAGATCAAGAGCGCCGTAGTCAATTTACCAACCCCATCTTACACGATGGGTTAGTGAAAATTTGTGTTTAGACTTTATTGCCATATGGGTCTGTGTTTATACAACAAAGTCATATCACCATACATCAATAGAAGAGTAACATAAATAACCATACCCTTGCATCTTACCAAATTCTCTTAAACATATGAAGAAAGCTACGAGCAGGAATGAACAACTCAAGTAGGTTGCAAGCAGAGTTGTAATTTAAGCAAACTAACAGGGTAACCAACATGATAAATTTAAACATCCAAATCCAGCTATGGCGTCATTAATTGATCTTTGAACTCAACACAAATGTTTGACAACCTTGTTCCATCGGAGGATTGATCTGATTTGATACTATAAAAGAATACTAAAGATTTATCTGAAGGCTGATTTGAAAAGTTACTGTTGATTCATTTTTACTGCTTTCCTCTATTCTGTAACTCAACTAACAGATGTTATTTATAGGAACAAAACTCAAATTCAGTAACACAATCTAAAGCTAACTCTGACTTCCAAAATACATTGTAACAGAGCAAGTAGTAAAGCATGTTAAATATTAAAGCCTTAGCACTAACTACATGCCCGCAATTCTTCAAAGCAAAAATAATATTAAATATTTTCTAATTTATTATGATTTTGTATTAAATTTAACATTATTTTTATTTATAAATTAATTAATTATATTTATAATTTTTATTATGAAAATATGTAATATTACATTACTATAAGGATACTATTCACCTACTTATAAATAATACTTACAAACAGTGTCAAAAAAGAAAACATGTTTTCGAGAATAATGAAAGAAAAAAATTCTTGGTTTGAAAGTTTTTGTTTTCATTTTCATTTTTCTAAACAAAAAATGTTACCAATCATGTGTTCTGTTGTTTTCAAAAAAACTGAACAGATATAAAAAAAGAAAACAAAACGATGCCAAACAACCCTGCCTTGCTTGCAACAGACGGTTTTCCTTGAAGAAAGAAGCCAACCAAAGAAAGGTAGTTCTTTTAATCTACACTGGAAAGCACTGGACCTTGTTTGTTAGGATCATTCAACTCATTTTGAAGACAACAAACAGATAACATTTTGAAATTTATGATGAAAAACATAATTTTGAAAGTGCTAATTTACGAGGAACAAGCTGAACAATCACACCAATAGAAGGTGATTGTCCTGCAAATTAAATGCCATCAACAATTGAGACCCATAGTTCGAGCAAAAGACTAAATTAGAGAGCTCAAAGCACCCCAAGCACCTTGGTTTAGACAACAGAAATGAGAAAATGAAAAACAAATAAATAAATAAAACATGTCTCTGGGTAGACCTATATTTCTTGCAAGACTATCCAGAAGACATGTCCTGAATAGATGGTCTCCCCAGAATTCGACTATTAACATATATTGAAACCAACAACCTAGGAAAACAAGATCCAATCTGTCTTGCCAAGAGAGAAGTAGACAATTATTATAGTAACAAAAAAATAAACTACCTCTTTGCTGCAGCATATTTACCTTGGATGAGACCTAGCATTAGGTTGCTGATAGCACCCTATAGTCTATAGGAGCCAATCCAAGTAAAAAGAGAAGAAAAATAATACCTTTCATGCAAGTTAAGTTTGAGGGATAAAAGAGATATGGAAGAAAATCAATTGGTTGCTTCTCCTCTCCGAAATGTTTTCTGTCACGCTGCGGCGCCTTAGACTCGAGATTGCAGTGCTAAATGAAGCGTTCAACACTTCAACTGGATTGGACTTTCTAAACCCAAATTGGTTAATCACGTTTCCAATCCACTTAAAACCACTGCCCAAATTTGTTTTTGGTTTTGCTTTGGGTTCAATCCACTAAACACTTCATCTGCACTGGCCAATATAAATTATTCGCCTGTAAGATTAACAAGTTCAAATATGACCCGATCAAATTTTATGGAAATATAACTAATATTCTACTAAACATAGCCTTGAAGCTTCAGAGGAATAAGTTGTCACTTATCCGGATATTTTTTGAGCTGAAGTTCGGATCAGAGGCTCTGCTTCCTGTTAGCAAAAGAGAAAACAAAGTCAACCAAGCATTATCTTTTAGCTGGATATGACACTGAAAGTTAAAGAAAAGGAATGATTTATTCGTCAGTATTTTTTGGTGACAGAAAACAAAGGAATCCTTAGAAAAAAAACACAACAATAAACTAGCAAAAATAGGATGAGCCCATTTGGATGCAATCGCACCCTCAATTCATCCTTAAAGCTTAACGGGGAAGCACTATTTTCACTGGTAGAAATTATACGCATCAAATTTTGAATTTTTTTTTTCTACCTTTCGCATTTATATTATATTACAAAACAATAATATTTGTATAATTTAAATTTTTTATTTTTTATTTAAAAATTATAAAATTTAATATTTTTAATTATTTATTAATTTTATAAATATTAAATAATTTTTTTGTTAATATAATTTTTATTTTAATATATTTAATAATTATTTTTTTCACTAATATAAATATTACCATCATTTTTGTTTTTGTATTTAAATATATATCTCATCATTGATTTTGATTTTATCATACAACATCTAATCTCACTATTATAATAATTAATTTTATTTTTAAAAATTATAAAATACTTTTATTAATTTAATATAATAATTATTTTATTAATTTTTATATTTTTTGTTTTTAATTTTTATTACAAAATCATTAATTTATTTAAAAATAATTTAATATTTTTAATTATTTATTAATTTTATCAATATTAAATAATTTAATTTTTTTGTTAATATAATTTTTATTTTAATATATTCACTACAATTAATTTTACCGTCATCTCTATTTTTATATTCAAATACAAATCTCATCACTAATTATAATTTTATCATATAATATCTAATCTCTTTAATATATTAATTTTAATTATTTTTAATCTCACTAGAATCATTTTCAATCGTGAAGAAGATAAAAAGCAGCAAACCCTGCTAAGCTAACGTGTTAAGTGGGGTAAGAATGTAAAAGGTTTAGCAAAGTGAAGAGATTTTATAGCACATCCCCATTTTTATGAGCTGATTTCTTCGTTTTTGGATGGAGTGACTAAACTTTTTGAAGTTTATTTCTCAGTTAATTAATTTATTTGGTGCTACAAAAAATTATTTATAAGAAAAAAATAACTTGTTTAATCGGTTGTAGTAATTTCGACAAAAGTACTTTACGTCAAGTAGTTCACACTGTGCCAAGTTAGAAGTAAATGGTTATAAATTTTAATATTTTACTCTTACAAATTCACTTTTGCTGAACACTCAATAACTTACAAATTAAAACGTTAGTTAGCATTTGTTTTTCGTTACCTTCACTTAAATTCAATTTTAATTTTGTTGGTTTTTTCTCTTTTCCTTCTACCGTGTACATGAAGTCTTTCCTTTCTATTCTCTCACTAAAAAAAAGCAGAAATGAATGTGAGGCTGTAACTTGTAAACTTTTTTTCTTGCAAATTCACTTTTACTGACCACTTAATAACTTACAAATTAAAACGTCAGTTGGTATTTGTTTTTTATTACCTCCACTTGAATTCAACTCTAATTTTTTTTTTGTTTTTGTCTCATTAAAACCCTCTTATTCTGTCATTAAAAAAAATAGCATAAATGGATGTGAATACTGTACTGTTTGATCTAATTTCTTGTCCCTGAATTTTTTCACAAGAATAATTTTGTTTCTCAATGTAAAAAGTTAATTAACTAGAAAAGAAATATAACCTTGGAAATTAATTGGTTCAGCAGCTATCAGAAAATAAAATGGTAGTTTCTTCTCTATACAAATGTTCCTACTAGTCCGAAAATCATATATGGCACGACGACTTTATGATTACACTATAAATTTTTAGTCTATGAATTGTACAAATTGAGTTCATAACACTCAACCATGATTTGATTGCAGAAGAATTGGGCAAAATGTATCTGCTGAAATAATTTCCATTTAATGTCTATCCTTTTATTTTAAATCTCCTCCAGATTGTTACCATCAATGGTTTATTAATGTTGGCAATTCTTTCCCAAAGATGCAGTTGAATCTGAGGTTATTTGCTGCAAAGGGCATAAATGATCCTCAATACATCATTCCAATTGCATGGAATATTGCATGTGTGCCACACAACTAATTCATGTAATGAATAAGTTGGTCGGTTTATCCTTATAATGAGCATGTCTTTTACCAGAAACTATTAGCCTCACCGTCACCATGCCAATTGCCATACCTAGTTAGTATCATCCTGCATAAACTGCTGTGCCCAAGTCTCCTTCTCCGCCCGTTGGGAGTTTAACATCACTTCAAATACAGTTTTTGGAGTGGATGGATGTTCTTTTTTAAGACATTTTACTAATCTATTCCTAAAAATAAAAATGTATATCTATGAATTCCATTATTATCCGCCAATTCACAATGATTTCTTTTTTTTTTTACAGTTGTGGATAGAGATTTCTAAATTGATTTTCAAACTGACAAAGAGTAGTAGCTTTAACCTTAATCATCAAAAAGTTTGCTGGAACATTGGTTAAAGTAACTTTACCCTTAATCATCTGGAACATAGAACAGGAGGCTTGAAATCATCATCAAAAAGTTTGCTGGAACATTTTCATTTACCTACGTCTAAACGGAGTCAAAAATAGATTCTATTTAGCTAGAAATGTATTTTTTTTTTTCAGTTGAAAATTCCCAATAATAATGATACTTATTAGAATTAGGGGGGGGCGGGTTTCATGTCAATGGCAAAATACCTCATTTGTTGCAACACTCCTTTAAACAATAAAAAAGGTTTCTCTTGAACTAAGAAGGGGAAGGAAGAAAGCGAGTCAGTGTGATAATTCCTCATCCTCAAATTAATCCTTCCCATGGAATATTGTCCCAACAAATAAGTAATTGTAGGGGTGAAATCTTGATATAATTCGAAAAAGCGAAGAGTAAGTCCCAAGCCATAAAATAAGAAAAAAAAAAAACACAATTCTCATGTTTATAGGATTAAACAAGGTAAAGTAACTTTACCCTTAATCATCTGGAACATAGAACAGGAGGCTTGAAATCATAAATTCATAGCAATGGTTGATAAAACTCGTTGCTTATCGGGTGTGGTTTACTTAATATACAGACCACAGAACTGGACTACGTCATAAATGTCCGAATAATGCATCAGGTTGGCCATGCATCAAGCTCCATGGACAACGAGAGTTGACAATACTTATAAAGCCGATTAACCCACTGATCCATTCATATTGATGGAGCTGACCATGCCACTTCCTATCATTTATAAAAGCTAAAAGCCCATCAAACCATGAAACAATTACAAAGTATAGAAGTAGATATTAAATGAAATTTTTAATAAGGTTATATACCAACGTTGTCAACAGCATCAAAATTGGATGTTTAGTGAGGCTTGATTATGTATTGTACTTGAGTTGAAAAAATGATAACGTGCGCTGCAATGCATAAAAGATTCTTAAACTAAAATACAATGAAGAAATGATTTGGCTGTAACAACTAGATTTTAGAGAGCCAAATAAAATGGCAAACTCAATTTAGATCAGCTAAACAACTGTTGCCACTACAATTCTTGACCACAATCTCATGAATGATTTCGATCCAACTGATCGTATTGAAGAAAGAATCAGACGTTTTTGGATAAACTCAACCAGGCCCTAACCCCCATTAACAAACCAATATCAAACTAGTATTTATATCGAGAAAAAGAGAGATGAATAAAGACAGAAACATCAGATTAAACTGTTGGAATTCCAAATGGTTTGCCACGTACTAGGCACAAAATTTAAAAGGAAAAAAGTAGCATACTTAAGAAACCCCTAGCAGTTCAGCATTGCAATAACTTTGAAAAAAGAAAATTCTCAAGCACATTAATCTGTCATTTACTATCAAAATCATGAATGACAAAAAGAACTCTGATTCTATCATAGAAACCAACATTATTCCTCAATCCTTGTGCTGCTGAACAACTTCAACAGCCTCATGTTGTTCGCCATAATCCTGCAGGGAAAAAGAATAATAAATCCCAACAATCATAAATACATAATATGCATGGCTAAATTTTTTACATATTGCTTGACAACATAACTGATCTAAAACGAAAATAAGAAAAGAAAAAAAAAATGGATTGATAAAACAAATATGTTGAAGTAAAATAGAATGTACTTTCACGCATATGTTTATACCTTGACAACCACACAAGAACAACCAACTACCTTCCTTGCTTTCCCCTCAGAATCTATCTTACACAACTGCATGCAGAGATGAAGCACAATTAGAATTTAAAGCAATAGTAATCTGTTTCCATTTGGCTGCATAGCTTGATTGAGTTTCTAGTAATATTCACCAAGGAACACGTTACATTGTCAAAGGAATGTGTTTATGAGTGCAAAAGAGAGAGGAGAGAAATAACTCATGTTCCATAAACAAGCAATGAAATTTTACTTACACCAGCCCACTCGCCAAGAGTTTTTGAACTAGGTGCACGCAGCACTTTAACATTATGATCAGCACAGAGTGCCTTGACCAGTTTAACATAATCTGGCTGATCACAGTCATCAGCTATAACACAAAGATGCGCATTATGCTTTTCAATTGCCTTCGCAGCTTCATGTAAGCCACGTGCAAGCCCACCATGAGCTTGTGACTTCCTCACCACAAGGGGCAAGGCTGTGTTGATGTCCATTGTCTCACCAAGGATGGGTGCTGCCTCAGGTTGGGCAACTGCAACTTCTTCTCTGCAAAAGCAATAGGCAAGAATACAGCATAAATACATGCAGACAATAAAAAAAAAAAAAAGTGATGAAATCTTTCAAAGAAACAAATAAAGACATCAGACAGACACAAAGGTTGGAAAGAAAATGATGGGTTTGGGAAGCTATGAAAAGGGAAATTTTTGTTGACACAATGGAATCAAAATAAGGCTTAATCTCAATATGGTACAAAATGGAAATACCTTCTTCAACTACTATCAATGCAGAAACAAATAACCAATAAACCCTAATAAACTTTTAATTTCTAACAAATCTGAAACAAAACAAACAATTCAAACAAGTATGCAAATCATCTCAAACAAAATTCATTGCAATCTATATTAGCATACAAGAAATAACGTAGCAACTTATTCCACACTAAAGCAATAAAATCCAAAGCCCATACAGTGAAACTGCAAATAACTTGGAAGTCTTATGGATATATTATAACAAACCTAACAACCAGATCAAATTTCATGGAACTATCACTAATATTCTACTAAACATAACCTTGAACATTTACAGAGGAAAAAACTTTCACTTACCCAGACATTTTTTGAGCTACAGTTGGGATCGGAGACTCTGCTTCCTGGTAGCAAAAGAGAAAAACAAAGTCAACCAAGCAGATCTTTTACCTAAATATAACACTGAAAGCTAAGCTTCATTCTTTTGGTGACAGAAATCAAAGGAATCGTTCTATAAGAAAACATAACAAGAGAATTAAACTAACAAGAGATTAAGACCCAAGAAACGGCGCAGTGAGGAAAATGCCGACGGCGTGTCGGGGGAATGGGAGGGTTTAGCAAAGTGTGTAAGGGAACAATATTTTGATGGGCCGTGGGTTGATTTCCTTTTCTCTTTTTCTTGGACTGGAGTGGGCTGAATCCATTCCCTAAATCTCTTTTGGGTTTCCTCCTGTTTTGTCAATTAACTGGTTACATTGGGATTTTATAATTATAATTTTTAAATCAAAAAATATAATGATATTATATTAGTATAAAGATACTATTCACCTACTTATAAATAGTATCAAGAACGAAAACATATTTTCGGAAATAATGAAAACAAGACATTCTTGCTTCTAACCATTTTGGAAATTTTTGTTTTTTTTTTAAAACAAAAAAGGGTACCAATTATGGTTTCTGTTGTTTTGCCAAATGACCCCTCAGCCTTTCAGGTTTGGTTTTGGTGGAAGCAAAGGGAAAATGAAACCACCTAGGTCATGGTTGCAACAGGCGGTTTTACTTGAAGAAAGAAACCAACCCAAAGAAAGGCAGTTCTTTTAATCTAACTGGAAAGCATTGGACCTTGTTTGTTAGGATCATTCAACTCATTTTGAAGAGAACAAACAGAGAACATTTTGAAATTTATGATGAAAAACATAATCTTGAAAGCGCTAATTTACAAGGAGGAACAAGCTGAACAATCACCCCAATAGATGGTGGTTGTCCTGTAAATTGAATGCCATCAACAATGAAGACCCATAGTTCGAGCAAAAGACCAAATTAGAGAGCTCAAAGCACCACAAACACCTTGTTTAAACAACAGAAATGAGAAAATGAAAAAAATAAAATAAAATAAAACATGTCTCAGGGTAGACCTATATTTCTTGCAAGACTTATCCAGAAGACAGGTCCTGAATAGATGGTCTCCTAACAGGATCATTCCTTCCACGTTTGGAAGGAGCATCAAGATATGCAGCCAGCGTCAAGCATGTACGTTAAGGATACACCTGTGTAGCTGTAGTAAAGGATTTAGTAAACGTTTCTCAAAGATGTGAAGAAAGGCCAAGTATGAGTGACAATGAGATGAGTGATGGTCAAACTTATCGGCGATAGGAATGTCACTTGGTCTGTTTTATGAAATGTCAGAACGATCAAGCATGTCTACCAAAGTCATCCTTCTAGGGAACCTTGGTGGCAACCTCAGAATCATGGCATCTTCAATCTCAATTGGGAGATGTGTTGCAACAATTACAATCCCACCCTTCTTTCTATGCTCTGCGATAATGTATTCTAGCAACCTCACCCCTTCATCATCTAATGCAACAGAAGGCTCATCTAGCAGCCATATTGGCCGATCAATTGCAAGCAATCTTGCAAGCTGAAGCCTCTTTCGCTGACCCATTGAAAGCATTCTTGCCTTCTCTTTTGCCAGTCTTCCAAGGCCCATGAGCTCCAGAGCAGGAATGGAATTACCATGCTTACTTTCAAGAATCTCAAACCACTGAACATTGTCAAGGACTGTAAACTTTTCTTTTATGGCATCCTTGAGGGAAAGCCAATTTAATTGAAGCTTGTACTGGTGGAATACGCCAGATTGAGTAATGTCATGGCCATTCCAAAGAATCTGACCAGCTGAAGGTCTAGAAAATCCTGCTAGCATACGCAGGAAAGTGGTTTTACCGGAGCCATTGCTGCCTGTCAACACAAGTGCTCCACCATCATGAACAGAGACATTCACATGTCGCAAGATTTGTTGGGCATTTCTCATGCAAGAGACATCATGGAGAAGAATTCTAGGGAGTGGCGGCTTCCGCAGAGACATGAAGACTATTATCCTCAGGTTTGGGATTTTGCAATAAAACTGCAAACTGTATGACTTTGAGCAACAGAAACCAATGAAAACTTCACAAAAGCTATGGAAAAAATTCCTTTTTCTGTGGAAAAGGAAAATAAATCATGTTAGAGGATAAATAAGAATACCATGATTTTTAGAGTAAACATAATATATTAACGTGGAACAAAAGGCACAAAAGACAAATGAAAATAGCACAAATTTTCACTTCTAATCTCTATGCTGAGCCTGAAACTGCCTTATAAATGAAAAACAAGCCTACCAAGCATCTTGAATTTAGTGGGAAAAAAAAAACAAACACTTAAAAATGATATCCCTTACTGCAGGATTGGACTATTAACATATATTGAAACCAACAATCCAATCTGTCTTGCAAACAAGAGAAGTAGACAGTTATTATAGTAACAAAAAAAATCCCTTGATGAAAACTACCTATAAGATCTAGCATTAGGATGCTGATAGCACTCTATAGTCTATAGCAGCCAATCCAACTAAAAAGAATGCCGTTAATGCAAGTTACCTTTGGGATAAAAAAGAGATGGAAGAAAATTGACGGGTTGCTTCTCCTCTCCGAACTGTCCGCCCCGCTACGGAGCCTCAGACTAAGCGCTAAATGGAGCGTTCAACAACTGGATTAGCCTTTCTAAACCCAAATTGGTTAATTCTTTTGCTTTGGGTAGATCATCACGCATAAACCCCACGTCTCCAATCCATCTACACTGCCCAAATTTGCTTTTGGTTTTGCTTTGGGCTCTATTCACTTAACACTTCAACTGCACTAGCCAATATAAATTATTGCCCTATAAGATTAGCAAGTTCACATACGATCCGGATCAAGGTTTATGTAAATATAACTGATATTCTACTAAACATGACCTTGAACCATTACATAGGAATAAGTTGTCACTTACCCGGACATTTTTCTGAAGTTGGGATCGGAGGCTCTGCTTCCTGTTAGCAAAAGAAAAAAAACAAAGTGAACCAAGCAGACCTTTTAGCTGAATATAACACTGAAAGTTAAACAAAATGAATGTTCAGTTCTTCTGTATTTTTTTATGACAGAATTAAAAGAGCTAGCAGGAATAAGATTAAGACCAACGTCACTAACCTGAGAGTGAAGAAGATGAAGAGGCGCAAACTACTGGAAACCAATCTGTTCCGCCGGATGAATAGAAAGGGTTTAGGAAATGGAAGAGAATAGGATATTCATATCAATCTTTGATATGGGCCGTGGCTGAGGGCTGATTTCTTCGTCTGTTTTCATTGTGATGGAGTGGGCTAAGCTCCATTTCCAAACCCGGTTTATTTGATCCGACAAAGATTCAGCTTTGGTCTAAAAACATATATTATAATTATAAATAATTTTGAGGTACCTAAAAGAAAAAACATTTGGTAGATTATTTTTAATCACAATTTAAAAATAAAAAAACTTGTAAAAATTTATTAAACATTACTTTTTAAAGATAATTATATAATCCAATTACTTAATACTGATCCTATCACCAAAACAATTGAGTGCATGGGGCGTCAAATTTCTTTTCACAATGCAAAGAAGGATTTGGCAATTGAAATGACATGAAGTCACTTTTCTTTCAAGACGGTGATTCAAATAGTAATATTCAATTTTTTTCTTCTAATTCAAAGATTAATCAAGGCTTTGGCAGATGATTAACGCTTTGCTACCATGTAAGTAACCACTGTGCCATAAAGAATAATACACAACCAGCATTAATGAGAGAAAGGAATTCAGATTTGCCAGTGTGATTGGCAAGTAAAATCCTCGTTAGATCAATAGACCAGCTGATATTCACTGTTCCCTTCCCGGTGTTGCAGAACATGGACAACTCAAGATAACCCAGGAATAGTAGTCAACCTAACCTCGCTTCTCTACGCAATACCTGGTTAAAGATAAAAAGGGAGCAGGGTTGAGTCAAGTATGTAATATTAGCCAAAAATAAGAATCTTTTTCCTCGATGAAAAATCAACGTAAAGATTCTAGTTTATGATGCAACCAGCATCAACTCAGAACTAATTGGAGATGCCTTCTTCAGTAATATGCATGTTACAATAAGTCAATATCCTATGCCATGTAGAATGTTAAGCAAAAAATAGCTTGTCCTAATGGAAGTGATGATCATGATACAAATTGAAATATGCTATCGTGGAAATGGAACAGCAGTGCCAAAGTTTTTTAAAAGAAAAAGACACTTGCATGACCAGCTGAATATTGTTTAGAGAATAAGCACTTAAAATTGAAGTGTGTTGAAAACCAAGCCCTCAAATATATACTTAATTCTTTTTTTTTTATTTTTCATATCTGAAGCAACTCTCTTCTGTTAGCACTACTTTGATCCCCTGCCAGTAGTTCATGATTATTTTAAGATAAGCCAGTAGTCCATTAATTAGATCTAAACTAGTGAAAATGCTTCTTTTGATTCCGTAGAGATTTAACCATATGAATAAACTGACTATGTACATTACCCTAGTCCTTAACAAACTAAGGAGAATATCATTGAATGAATCTCAAATATAATACCAAGCATCAAATGCTTTTTATTAAAGGGCACAACTACACTTGGGAAGACCAGACTTTATTGAATATAATACCAAGCATCAAATGCTTTTTATTAACAAGAGAATATCAGTCTCAAGTGCAAGAGCATAAGAGTGGTGCCTACCTCTTCAGCAAACTTTATCAAAATAGTTGTCCGAGGTCTTTGCTGTCCCTCCATAGGCACAAAATGAGCTGTTACTACTGCTGGAAATCCTGCACCATCCAAAACACCCTTCCAACCAACAAAAGAGCCTATGAGAGCTTCCTTCCACCCAGATGATCAGTCATTTTATACAAAAAATGAATGCAGCACTTACCCTCACTATTCCAGCAACAAATGCCCCACAATTAAATGTCCCCATGTCTTTTGGTATAGAAATAAACCTACAATGCAAACAGACCAGTTGGTTCTTAATCTAGAGCTAAAGATCTAGTTAGCTGAAAGGATGGCATTATAAGTGATAAGTGGAGGGCAATGAATAACTTGTTCACAAGGAGTTCCTTCTCGCTGATCATGTATTCGTCTTCATGTTCGGTGCCCTTCTCAAGTGAGTCAGCCACCTAACATAGTACAAAAAGGAGCTGGTAAGAGAAGTACTAAATTAGAGACTACACTGATTTCAAGCAAATGCTGAAGATGTTAGCCAGCCAGATTTGTAATGCCTATAGGCTTATAGGAAAATACACAAATTCCGTTTGACAATATCATCAAACTTTCATTGTTGCACCAATAAACAAGATTGCAGACTTACCTTCCCAAACAACACCTTCCAGACAGTACTGTGCACAAAAGATAAAATACCCAACAATCGAGTCTCCCTTCTATTTCCCTGTAACAAAAATATATATATATAGTCTTAGTACTGGTGCCAACACCATGGAAGAATGCAAATGTTCATACAAATGAGCACAAATCTTTGCAAACACATCACCAAACCAAGATACAAAAAATGAAAGCAAATTTAATTGAGATATGACCACCAAGCATATGAATGTGTTGTACCTTGACAATGCAAATGAAGATTAAACAGGATAACCTTAATGTTATTAGAGTCTCAAGTGTGGCCTATAAATGTGTTGTACCTTATCCCTATGGCATAAAAGTTCAAGAACTCGAGCCCCAACTGCATACCCTGCGTCCTCCAGCCTGACCACTCCAATGAATAATATTAGAGTCATTCACAATAGAAGAACAACCGACCAAACTAAGCACCATCCAAATATTTCCTTTAATTTGAAATGAGAAGCTTTTTGTTCCATTTTTCTTTTCATATTTTCATTATCTTTTTTAACAAATAATCCGTTCTCAAGCACAAATCGGTTGGCAACGGAATGATTCAACTAAGACATATCAAACATAAAAAAAAATTACCTTCTTTCTAATTCAGCAATGTTATCAACCTGTGTTTGATTGTACTGAACAAGCTCCGAAAACAAGAATGCAAATGCACTCAAGCTAACCTGCAAAGAAAGCAAAACAGTCAATAGTTTCGAAATTTTTACCCCAAATTGGAAAAAAAATTCCAAATCAAAGCTGTTACTGATTCGGTTTGTTTGAGTTTATGTAAATTTTTTCTATTTTGTAGTTAATTACGAGCTCAATAATTTTTTTTTATTATTTTGAGACTAATTTGTGTGATTAGATCAGAACTTCTCAACCAATATAATGGCCAATTCAAATAATTGAACGATAATATTGTAATGAAAGGCACAAATCGAAATGTTCAAAAGATCTGAAACTCAGCTTCATTGCTAAGAAGATGAAAATACAGTTCAAATAAATATTAAAAAAAAAGAGTAAGTCTCTAGCTTAGATTTTATATGGTACTTTGATACATTTCAGAGAGAGCGAGAGAGAGAGTGAAGGAACCTCTTGTTTGCCCTTGCTGAGGGGCTTGTCGAGAATGTTGGAGTACTGCTTGATCTTCCCGACTCCGATCATTTTTTAGTGGATAATTAAATTTTATTTTCTGTTTGGCTGGTGAGAAACTGCAGGATAAAAATGAATCAGCTATGAGCTATACCTATACCAGCACCGAGCGAGTATGTGTGCACTCCACTGTGCAAGCCGTTTGTCGAAGTTTTCACAATAGCTAACACACGCGCGCGCCACGCGTTTTCGCCCTTCTTTTGTATTTTTTCCCCTTCTATCATTTTTCATGGCTTAAATTAGTTGAAAGTTTTGAATTTGAATTTCTATAAAATATAATATCTTTCAATAAACACCCTTAAAAATAAAATAACAAAAAAAACTACATTTATCTATCTTTAAAATGAAAGTTAACTACATGTCTTAGATGACATATTAATTTTGAATAACTTAAGAAAAAATTTAGATGAAATTCGTTAAATTTTTTTATTAAAAATAATTAAATAAAAAATATAAAGATTATTGAAATTTTTTATTACTTAAATAAATATACAAAATTTTTAAAAAATTAATAAATTTTGATATTTTTTGATAAAATTTTTAGTATTAAATAAATATTTAATAAATTTGAGTTATAAATAATACTTTTGATAATTTTTTATATATTATTGACTTATATTAGATATTAAAATTATATTTTTTAAATTTTTATTAAAATGTTTATTACATCATTTTTAATAAGTAATTTCATTTAAAAATTTTTATTTAAATTTTGCCCTTGAGGTTAAGGGGTATTTAGGTATTGCAATTTTAAGTTTTATGTGTAGATATATAGAATTATTTTCAAATTTTTAATTTAATATTGAGTGTATTTATTTAATATTGGATTTTAATTTATAGATTTATAGTTGAATTATATATATTTAGCTTTCTTAAATTTTAAAGTTGCTTGACAAACATAAATAAATTTTGTTTTATGTTTATATTTTTGAGATATTGAAATTATTTTTATGATGGTAATGCTTAATTTATTTAATATTGGATTTTGATTTATAAATATATAGATGAGTTATATATACATATATATATATTTGCTTATTTAATTTTAAAGTGACTTAGACAAATATAATGAAAATTTCATCTATATTTACAGTTTTTGAGGTATTGAAATTATTTTTTAATGATGGTGAATCATTTTCATATTGATGCATAAAACATTTTTTTTCAATTGTCACGCTCATTTAAAATTTACATCTAGATTAAATAAGGATTGAAGATCAATTTTTGAATTACCTTATTAATTTAAAATTTTACATTTAGATTATCTATTTTTCAAACAAATTAATTAATTAAATCACTCAATTAAAAAAATTACATTAATTTTTTTATAAATCTTGAAGCAAAGTACTAGTTATTATCCTCGTATTAATTTGAATAGTTTATATTTTTTAAAATTTTCAAAATTGAAATTCAAATTTTTTTAAATGTAACTTTTTTATGCTTTTTTTAATATTCATTATACGTAAAAAATTAATCTAAAAAAATCAAAATCTAAACTTCAATTTTTTGCTGTTATAAAGTTGCGACCGATGCCTTTGACTAAGATTAGTAATGAGGGAAAATTATATCGTATAGTTGATAATTGAATTATGAATATTTAAATAAATATCACTTGTATTTTATTGAGATTTTTTTACCAAAATAATAAATTTATAAAATTATAATTTTTAGTTTTTGGAATGAACAATACTTCATGATAAGCAATTTAACAATTTTTACATTAATATTTTTATATGTTGCATCAACATAACCTTTTTTTTTATCCTTTGCAATTTTAACTTTTGACATTAATTCCATTCTTGATGCTTTAGAGCTCCTCATGTTCTTGCAATCATGTATTGAAATAATGTTAATTAAGCAATTACCGAAGCTTTCATACGTAGAAACTCCTTCAAAAAGTATTCATGAATGCTATTGCACTTAAGTCATTCCGCTATTGTAACTTATTACTAGTATGTTTTATGTAATATTATAAATTTCGATAAATCTTATATAAAATATCATAAAATGAAGTTTGTGAAAATTTTTATTATAAATGAATAAATAAAAATTTAAATCGATATATTAATAAAATTTAATATTAATATCCATAATATATAAAAAATTTATTAAAAATATTATGTATAATTTAAATATGATCGATATTTATTTAATAATAAAATTTTTATTAATATATTTATTAAAAATATTTATTTAATAAATATAAAAAAAAATTTTTAAAATTTTTAAAATTTTATACTTTTCATCTATGTAATGAAATATTTTAATTTAATTATTTTTAATAAAAAAAATTTATGAATTTTATCGATAATATTTTACATAAATCATTTCCCATAAATTTTGGGTGGCAACCACTAGGCTATAAATGTTGCAAATGCTCCTTACTTCCTATAACTAAAAAGTAAGCCATATCTATCTAATTATCGATGCCAAAGATAAATCCCGAGTAAATGTAGTTTCATTAGCCACCTTGCCATATTTACTCAAGTTCATATACATATTGCCATATTTTTTCGAGTATAATCAAAATATTTTGTTCATGCACGCAATTATTTAATACATATCCTTATCACTCAACACTTGTTAATTTGATGATTAAGATTGAAAATTTTGTCAATTCAATTTACTCACTTGTTGTTAGATTAATTTTTAAAATTATTTTACGATGTAATTTGTGTGATAAAAAATTATGATATATATTTTTGAATAAAATTGAGATTTGAAATTGATTAATTGCAATAAATTATAATTAAAAGTTGAATTCAATATTTTTCGTTTTAAAGTCGATTCCAATATCACAAGTTAATAATTTAATGTGAGAAAATATGACTTTAAAATTAAAAAAAAAATTAAGTTTAAATAAAACTTGGAGTTTCAAGTATGAAAATTGATTATGATATTAATTAGTAATCTAAATTAAAAAACACGAAAAAGCCTCTCCTATAACAAAAGCAGAAACGAAGCACGCCAACATTAACAAACAAACACAATCAAAACCCTTCCTCTCTCTTTTTCTGTCTCAGCCGCTCTCTCTTTCTTTAACGAAATTCCGATGGAAGACGACGATGAGTTCGGAGATCTGTACACGGATGTTCTCAGACCTTTGTCATCAACCTCCACGATTCCGCAACCACACCGGTCATCTCCTACAATCGCACATCTCCACCGTCCTATCGATCTCAATCTTCAATCCCGAGACGATGACAACACCTTCTTCGGAGCTCCACGTCCAATTCCCGGCACCCAAACGCTAGCTCCCTTTAAATCTCATCGTCCTTCTGCTGTTGATGCTGCTTCAGCTCCGGATTCAATCCCTAACAGCGATTCAGCTCACGGACCAATGGTTTTGGATTCTAAACAAGAACCTGCCGGTGGAGAAGACGTTAAACTTGGTATTGAAGAGGGGGGTAGTAACGGTATTGAGGGCTTCGGCTCTGATGACCCGAAAATCCCGGGTTTAACCGAATCGGTTCGCCAGGAAGAGTCTGGAAGGAACAATAACGAGAGTGATAAGGGAATTCGAGGCGGCGGTGAAGCGGAAGCCGAGGGAGAAGGAGATGATTGGGATAGTGACAGTGAAGATGATCTGCAGATAGTGTTAAACGACAACAACCACGGCCCGATGGCTATGGAAAGAGGAATCATGGGGGAAGATGACGATGACGACGAAGATGAAGATGGGGACCCGCTTGTGATAGTAGCTGATGGAGATGCAAACCAAGGGATGGAGGAGCAGGAATGGGGTGAAGAAGGAGGGCAGGCGGCGGATGGGGAGAGGAAAGAAGGGGGAGAAGCAGGGAAGATTGGCGGCGCTGGTGGCGGAGGAAGCGTGGTTGCTCCAAAAATTGGGTACAGCAGTCATGGGTTCCATCCGTTTCATTCTCAGTTTAAGGTCAGTGTGTTAACATGTTGATGCTGTTGTTGCTGAATCAAACAATTTGGAATCATTTGGACAAATATAGGATTTTTTTTGTCATATGCCCGAATTGTTTGATGAATGATTAGGATTTATTTAGTTATTGATTTGTAAACTTTGTACAGAATGAAATGATAAATAACAGTTGTTTTTATTTTTGTGGCCAATATTTGAGTGGAGATGATATTGCAATGCCTTTTGTTTTAACATATATTTAAATATTGAAGATCATAACCTTGCACCCAGAAATCATCATGGTTATCCTTAAAATAAACCTTTGGTCTGTTTGCGAACATCTGATGGTGCTTGTGGTAGGATCAGAAGCACGTTTACCAATATTGACTTGCGGATATTTCTGCTTCAATCCAAATCTCACTTATTTCAAGGGTAAAAAATTTACCGCATATTGTTGGCTAATGCAATATTGACTTGTAAGACAGGGTTATTTGATTCATCTTTCTTCTGATCCTAAATTTGAACCTGAGAACTTGAAAAAAGGGTTTGGCCATAAGTTTTGATTTTTGAATGTTCTGAGACACATTAGTTAATGGTTTAAATAGTAAAACCTTTGCAGTCTGAGGCACACAACTGCAACTACAGTTAATGTGCTTTATGATGTAATATGTTAAGATATGTCTGTTGATCTTTCACCCTTCTCCAACGCCAATACTTCTCTGTTGGAGCTGTTGAAGATGAACAATTCTGTTCAGAACCATTGGTTTATTTGTGCATTGAGTAATTTGTGCTCAAGAGCAAATCCAGATACTTCTGCAAAGAAAAGTGCAAACAACCTATTGGTAAACCAGATGAAACTCTATAGAGTAACATTATACTCAGCAAAATTGAACGCATGATGTTTTCTGTTGCTTGAAATGTGAGATCAACGGCTAACCTCAGCTGAAAATATATTTCTCCTCATACTTTTTCCAAACCATTTTCAAACAGCAGTTGATTCGATTTACCTAATCCTTGTCATCGGTTGCATCACAGAGTTTAAGTTATTTTCAGCTTGAGATTTGACATTGTAATTGACACTTTGTTGCACATGTATGTGCTGTAACTTCTTCCTTGTCAATTATCTTATTGGCCATTCATGTGTCACTTATTCCTTCTTCCAGCAACCATCATTACATTTTTAGCTTTATGTTATTATCAGTGTATTCTTTGATATCCTTGTTTCTTGATTTGTATATTGTCTTAGTGCATGTTATAAAGTGAATTTCTTATTTTCATTTGGCTAAGAAATTTTGATTTAGCAGTCTCTTTTAATTAAAACTTGTTGTTTGGTGGTTTTTCCTTTCTAATACGATGCTAAAGTTGACCTTATTCTTGAATGTGTTAGCCAATGGAAAGTTGATTTTAAGAAGCAGCATATATGTCAAAGTTCTGTTCGTCTGTTGTAAACTGTAATTTTATAGCAGAAGGGAAAAAATGCATTGCTTGATGATCATGCTGTTTCTTTCATGGTCTTATGCTGCTTGTTCATTTTGGTTTCTGATTACTGTTGTGATTTATTTTCTGCAACATGCAGTATGTAAGACCTGGTGCAGCACCAATGCCTGGAGCCACTGCAGGTGTTCCTGGAGGAGCACCAGGTCAGGTTCGTCCACTCATGGGTGCTATGGCTGGTCGTGGTAGAGGTGATTGGAGACCACCTGGAATGAAAGCTGCTGCTCCAATGCAAAAAGGTTTCCATCCTAGTTTTGGAACGCCTGGCTGGGGTAACAACATGGCGGGGCGAGGTTTTGGTGGGGGGCTGGAATTCACACTTCCTTCTCACAGGTAATTGCTCAATTTTCTATAATTATGTCATTGTTTAATTTTAACTGATAACATTTTGTTATACCGAATCCATTTTGTTTTGGCTTGTAGAAGCTGAAATGGAGAAAAATTGCTTGTTGAAGGATGCCTTTTGGCTTCTGTCAAACTTTGTTATGTTTCATTCTTCTAATATCATGTGCGAACTCTTTTAATTTCATTCTTTGGTTTTGCCTGACTAGTCTTTGATCAATTCCTACATGATTCCAGGACCATATTTGATGTCGACATTGATAGTTTTGAGGAAAAGCCTTGGAAATATCCTGGTGTTGATCTCTCTGACTTCTTCAACTTTGGTCTAAATGAGGATAGCTGGAAAGATTATTGCAAACAACTGGTAATTATTAACTTTAAAGATACCTTATTTCATTATTGTGGGAACTAAGACCTAAGAAGGTTGGATTTTAAATCTTGTAGGAACAACACCGCTTGGAGACAACCATGCAAAGCAAAATTCGCGTTTATGAAAGTGGACGAACGGAGCAGGTAATTAGGTGCTTATGCATATCTGAAAATTTATTTCTGTGTAACAGCTAAGTACATGGATTGATGGCATGACTTCTGCTATTGTTATTAAGGGTATAATTATCTTGCTTTCTTTTAGGATTATGATCCAGATTTGCCTCCAGAATTGGCAGCAGCAACTGGGCAAGAGGTTCCAGCTGATGTTGCTAATCTTGGAAAGTCAGATGGCAGACAAAATGACATGACAAAAGGAACTGTTCGAGTGCGACCAGCACTAGTAAGCTTCAGTTGTTGGTTTTAAAGTACATGCATAATTATAAAAGCCATTCTGTTAGATGCAGATTCTTCAACAATACTTATATTTTCCCTGTAAATATACATATCATATTCTTAGCTCTTGAAATATATGCTTGATCTGTGTCTGTATCTTCTCTTTCCTTGCTGTCCAATTTTACTTAACTATTTCATTGTGAGTGTAATAAGCAATTCCCTGCATTGTGAACCTGTTTTGCTATTTTCTTTTTATCTGTTTGATATATATACATATTTATTTATTGTACTAGCCAACTGGGAGAGCAATACAGGTGGAAGGTGGTTATGGGGAACGCCTCCCCTCCATTGATACTCGGCCACATCGTATCCGTGATTCAGATGCAATTATTGAGGTTAGCAGCCAAACCTTGTTTCAATTGCACTTAGCCCAAGTCTTATTTAGTATCTACGTGCTGCATGTGCAAAATTGTTTAACTCTTAACTGTGCAAACAGATTGTCTGTCAGGATACTTTAGACGATGATTCCTCCACAGGCAATGGTGTTGTAGACCAAACAGAAAATGATCTTCCAAGGGAGGATCTTATAAGAGATCTTGCATCTAAAGCTGATGTTGCACGTGAAGATACTGAATATTTTGATGGTTCTCCAGATGCATATAATAGTCGAAAGAAGGAGCCAGTTGGAAGGAGGACTGTAAATTCTGTTCATGGTAATGTGCCTGAAGAAGATGAGATTTTGCCCTTCCCTGCAGAAGCATCACTGCCATATGGTCCTGGATCTAGGGGTCAGAGTCCTATGTATCCTAGTGGAAACTTTGGCAGCCCTTGTGATGAGAGGTATGAAGCCACCTTGAATCAATTTATTGTTATTTCTTTTAGATAAAGTTAATTGTATTATCTAATATCATGTATATTGTTGCTTCTTTGTGATACTACACTGCATCAAGTAGAGTGGTGAAGCAGTGGTACACCTCAAATATGATCCTATACTTGCTTATTTGTGGTTTTGTTGTTCTAAATTGTACACTTTCCCTCTTGCATCTTTCAAGTATAAAAAATAAATGCTTGATGTAGTTGTGATAAACTGATAATTCATTTCCTGAAAGAAATACTTTATTGTAAAGTGGATACATTAGCTGCTATGTTAAGAAGTATAACTAAACCTGCCTTCATGTGCCTTGAGAAGTGATGATGGAACTTGGAGGAATTTGGGAGTCATAAAAAATGATGATGCGGTAGTTTTCTATTTATCTGAAGGAGAAGATAAATAAATCAAATCAAGATGGCCATAGTGAAAATTGATAAAGTTGGTCCCCGTTCCTTATTATCATTAACTAACTGATCACAATTTTGTCCTATTTTACTTGTACTCAATAGGTGTAATTGATAGCGATGCTTTTGCCTTCTTGGACTTATTTAGCTGCAGCAGTTTTCATCATAGTTTGTTTTCTTTAATCAGATGGATTACTTTATTGCATATTTGGCTGTGAAGGGAAATGAACTCTTGTTGCGGTTTTCATTAACTCTTTCATTTTCTTCTGTTGCGGTTTTCATTAACTTTTTTATTTTCTTCTGAGCCCATTTCATAGATGAATTCCATCCCTTTATGATCCAATTCATGATTTGAAAATAAGAGATACAAGTTGGTGTGAAAGGCTGCTTGTTACTTTGATTATTTTTATGGTTTCCTTTAGCTTGATGTTTTAGTTTATTATTGAGGTGGTAATACTACATCTGCATTGAATAAATGCCACTAACCCTTTCCATCACACAGGCATCGACAGGGAAGAGTATGTGAGAGATCTCCTGTCATGACACCTATTCAAGGTAAACGGGATAAGTTCAGTGATGCCCACGAGGAAGAATCTGTTGAAAGCATGGATGGTAAATCTCCTGTCCTAGTTAGAGATGCCAGGGAGATAAGTGTGGAGCTTAAGGATGATGTTGATGATGAGCTTGAGCCGGCTGATGGAATCCCTCATACAGAAAAGGATGAGATGATAAATGAGACCCATAAAGATGAGAATTCACTTAACCCCATGAAAAATAAAAAAATAAGTTCGCAAGTGGAGCAACCGATGCTTCAAGAACTTGACGATGATGACGATTCTAGGGCTGCAAGAAGTAGTGAAAACAGCAAAGCAAGATCTGGCAGCAGCAGAGATTGTCAGAAGTGGCGAGATGGTGCTGAGGAGGAAGTTGTTCAAGATGGACGTTCTTCTCGCATTGGGATTGTCAAGAAGCATCTTGATGAACATGATCAGAATTTCTGGAGAAAAGATTGTGATGGGAGATTTGAGAATGAAAGAAATCGCGTGGTAGGTAAACCAGGAGAGGATTCTTATCCTCGCAGAGACTTTGATGCTAGCTTGTCACATAGTTTGCATATTAAAACAGAGGGTTTTGGTAGGCGAAGGGAGCGTGACAACCCTGATGGTACTTGGCAACAGAGAGAAGATGATCTTTACAGCAGAAAAAGTAGAAATGAGGACTTAAGGAGTAGAGAGCGTGATGATGGGATTAGTTCTAGGAACAGGGCTAAGGTTCGAGAAAGTGAAAGGAGTAACAAAGATGATTATCCACCTTCTAGAAAACTGTTGGATAACGGCAGTTATAAAGTTCATCATGATAAAGATGTCAGTGCTAGACACAGGGAAAGAGATGATAATTTGAAGAGTAGGTATGAAGCAGCAGTTGATTACCACAGTAAAAGAAGGAAAGATGAGGAATATCTGAGGAGGGACCATGCAGACAAAGAAGAGATCTTGCATGGACACAGAGAATCCAGCAGCAGTCGCAGGAAGCGAGACAGGGATGAAATCTTAGACCAGCGTAAGAGAGATGAACAACAAAGAATTAGAGACAATTTGGATGAGCATCATGCAGTTCGGCACAAAGATGAGGTCTGGTTGAACAGAGAGAGGGTTGAGAGACAGCGGGAGAGGGATGAATGGCATAGGCTAAAGCAATCCCATGAAGAAAGTTTATCAAAACGGGAGAGAGAAGAAGGACGAGGTACTGTGAGAAGTGGCCGTGGTTCAGAAGACAAAGCATGGATTGGCTATACCAGGGCAAAGGATGAATATAAAGGTTCTGAAAAAGAATACCAACTCAAAGAGACAGTATGGCATGGTGAACAGGTGAAGAGAAAGGACCGGAATGATGATGAAAGTCTCTCACGCCATAGAGGGCGTGAAGATTCTTATACACGTGGACTCCAATTTAGTAATGAGGAGAGAAAATCCAGGCAGGAAAGGTCAAGCACGTGGAATGACCCTCCTGTCAATGCTTCAGATAGCCAACGGGGGCATGAGAAGAAACATAAAGAAAACACTAGGAAGAATAGAGGATCTGAAGGTGGAGAACCAATCACATTGCGTTCTGCCAAGAGAAACCAAGAAGATTTAAGTGTTCACAACAATGAAACGGTATGATTCATAGACTCAAGGACATAATGTTTCTTTAGTAATAAGGAGAAAAATACCACAGCAATTTTTGGGAAATGAGCCTATACATGTGCATACTTATATAAAGTAAATCTTCTAGTGAAAGTTGATGCAGTTTCCTCAAAAATAGAGATTCTGGCTTTAATTACTCGATCATTGATGTCTTTGAAATATCTTCTTTTAATCAATAGATATCCATTAAGAGTTTAGAGGACTGCGTGTGGTTACCAGCACAATTCTTGTGTCCAGACATTTACTTTTAGATTGAGAGTAATTTAAAAGTTCACAATTCATGAATGTTATTTCCAAGCAGATATGATTTGTCATTAGGGTAGATGCCTCTTATTGGAGAAGTTTGTTTTTTTTTTTTCTCCTGGTCCTAAGCATGTTCTGAGAATATACTGAGCAGTGTTAGTCTCATGATGAGATTAGTCTTATCATCCTGGTTTCAAAATTTTATATAATGCACCAACAAGAACACACCATGCTGTCCCAATATCCATGTTCATGTAATCAGTTTGGGCAAAAGTTTCAGGAAGCAATGTTTAATAACAAACTCATTATCCCCTCTCAAGCATGGTGTGATTTTGACGCCATCAATAATTTACTGCTGTTTATAAAGAGCTTGGCACCTTGGACGTGAGTTTTTCTGTTTATTTATTAGCAACTTGTTTTACCATAGTATTTGGCTGCATCATCTGTCATTTTTGAGGCTTCAAAGTGAATTCTTTACAGTCCCGCTGTTTGTGTATGAATTTAATATTGTTCGGTTTGATGTTGACGCTTTGTTTGGATTGAGGGAAGGGGAGGGGGGAAAGCCTTTCAACTTTTCCTTTTGGAGGTGAAGGATTCCTCGGTAAATCTTCATTTACTCTATAGGCAAATTACTCTTATTTTAACATTTCATTTTAATATGTAAAGGTGTTGTGATTTTAAAAGAAAATGATAATTTATTATTGACATTTGACAATGAGCTTGATTTCAGATGGCATGATCTAATTTGAACATGAAGGAAAGTTGAGATTTGAACTTAACACCTATGCTTAAACTTTTGTTTTTGGACTTTTCTCATGCCATCATAAAGACAGCCTATTCAATTGCTATTTAGGTAGGTATTTACCTATGTGATCCCTTCTCAATTAATGATGGAATTGCCCTGCTGTAGAACTTATCTATTAACATTGTTATTATAATTATAACAATAATAATTGCTATTATCATTATTATTATTACCTTTTGGCTTGGTTAGGGCTTGAAAAATGATGAGAAGAACGAGAACCTATCACAATATAACGCCTCCAGAAAACATAGAGATGATGCTTCTTCAGACGATGAACGTCAAGAGTCAAAACGAGGGCGCTCCAAATTGGAACGTTGGACAAGCCATAAGGAGAGGGATAGGGATTATAGTGTCAACAGCAAGTCATCAGCTTCCTTGAAGTTTAAGGAGATTGAGAAGATTAATAATGTGGGATCTTCAGAATCGAACAAAATTCCAGATGAAACTGGTAAGTCAGTTGAGCCTGCCGAGAACCATCATCCGTTGTCTGAAGATAAGGGTGTTGGCGAGCCAGAGATCAAGGATGCTGAGACAAGACCATCGGAGGACAGGCACCTTGACACTGTTGAGAAGCTCAAGAAACGAAGCGAGAGGTTCAAACTTCCAATGTCCAAGGAAAAAGATGCCCTGGCAATAAAGAAGATGGAGAGTGAGGCACTACCTTCGGCCAAGAATGAAACTCCTGCAAATTCAGAGATTAAACAGGAGAGGCCAGCCCGAAAACGAAGGTGGATCAGCAACTAATAGTGGAATAAGTAACATACATTTTTGCTGTGTTGCGAGGTGTACTGGCCCTGATTCTTTAATTAGTGAACCCCAAAGATCCTGTCCTGCCATATATTTTGAAATGGCTACTATAGCGTTCAGGGATGGGCTTGTACCACAGTTATATACTATCACGCATGATGTTGTAACAATGCTGCCTCCATGTACTTTTTCTCAATATTATGTGTATATACTAAAGAATGTAACATTGAACAAGTCACAAATGGTGGCTCATATCCATTTAGTGTCAAATTGAGGTATGTTGCTCAGATTATTTAATCCGGGTGTGATCAGGGTTACACACGATAAAAGAAAATTTGGCAACAGGGTCCTTTCTTTCTGGCCTTTGTAAAAGTTGACGGCATCAGAGGTGAGGAGTTTGTTTTCTTAATCTGAGATTCTTTCCATATGCAATGGCAAGAGACTGATGCTTGGAAAAGGTGGCATGGATGAATGGTTGGTACCATTACATTGTATACCCTAGCGCAATCAGATTTTACAAATGTTTTCCATGTTTTTGTTTTGGTTTTTCTCACGTTTCTTTTTGGGCAATTGATGCGGAAAGCCTGAAAGCATTGGAGAGCTTCTTCTGTACTTGGGAAACAAGTTTATGAAAAAAATGATAAGAAGGAATGTTTTTTGAGACATTTCCTTCCAAATTTGGAGTGTTCAATCTTCCTATTCCATTGTAAGACAATCAATAAAATCACAAACTGAAAGAAGGAAAATCGTACCTGAACTTGTTGAATACTTGTATTGGTTGTCTGGGAATGGCAGTTGAAGAAATTTGGGAGCCCAGTGCAGTTGAAGTGTTAAGTGGATTGACAAGATGGGCTGATGATCAGTTAGGTGGATTGAAAACGTGGGCTGACGATCAGTTGAATTGTTGAACGCTCCGCCGATGCAATCTCGAGTCTGAGGCGGAGTGGAGAAGCAACCAGCCAATTTTCTTCCATCTCTCTTTTCTCTCTCAAAGGTAACTTAAATCAACAGTATTATTTTTCCTTCTCTTTTTAGTTGGATTTTGCTGCTATAGACTATAGAGTGCTCTTTTTGCACTGGCTTGAATGAAATTAGGCTCACCAGCCCAATGCTAGATCTCATCCATGGTAAATATGCTGCAACTAAATAGGTAGTTTTGGTCAAGGGATCTTTTTGTTACTATAATTGTCTATGCTCTTGTTGACAAGACAGATTGAATTCTTTGTGCATGTTTTTCCTGGGTTGTTGGTTTCAATATATGTTTCCAAGTGTTTGATATTTTTTCCTACTAAAATCAAGATGCTGAGTGGTCTTGTTTTTCATCTTAGGCTCTGCAAAGGGATAAAAAGTGAAAATTTGGGCTGTTTTCATTTGCTCTTTTGTACCTTTTGTTCCATGTTAAGCTATTATGTTTACTCTGAAAATCATGGTATTCTTGTTTATCTTCTAACATGATTTGTTTTTAACTTTTCCACAGAAAGAGGAATTTTGTCCATAGCTTTTGTCAAGTTTTCATTGATTTCTGTTGCTCAAAGTCATACGGTTTGCGTTTCTATTGCAAAATCCCAAACCTGAGGATAATATTCTTCATGTCTCTGCGGAAGCCACCACTCCCTAGAATTCTTCTCCATGATGTCTCTTGCATGAGAAATGCCCAACAAATCTTGCGACATGTGAATGTCTCTGTTCATGACGGTGGAGCACTCGTGTTGACAGGCAGCAATGGCTCCGGTAAGACCACCTTCCTGCGTATGTTAGCAGCATTCTCTCTACCTTCAGCTGGTCAGATTCTTTGGAATGACCATGACATTACTCAATCCATCGTATTCCACCAGTACAAGCTTCAACTAAATTGGCTTTCCCTCAAGGATGCCGTAAAAGAAAGGTTTACAGTCCATGACAATGTTCAGTGGTTTGAGATTCTTGAAGGTAAAAATGGTAAGTCCATGCCTGCTCTGGAGCTCATGGGCCTTGGATGACTGGCAAAAGAGAAGGCAAGAATGCTTTCAATGGGTCAGCGAAAGAGGCTTCAGCTTGCAAGGTTGCTTGCAATTGATCGGCCAATATGGCTGCTAGATGAGCCTTCTGTTGCATTTGATGATGAAGGGGTGAGGTTGCTAGAATACATTATCGCAGAGCATAGAAAGAAGGGTGGGATTGTAATTGTTGCAACACATCTCCCAAGATTGAAGATGCCATGAATCTGAGGTTGCCACCAAGGTTCCCTAGAAGGATGCTTTGGTAGACATGTTTGATCGTTCAAACATTGCATAAAACAGACCAAGCAACATTCAATTTCTGTTGTCCAAACGAGGTGCTTGGGTGCTTTGAATTCTCTAATTCAGTCATTTGCATGAACCATGGGTCTCAATAGTTGATGGCATTCAATTTACAGGACAACCACCATCTATTGGGGTGATTGTTCAGCTTGTTCCTCCTTATAAATTAGCACTTTGTCAAAATTTTGTTTTTCATCATAAATTTCAAAATGTTCTATGTTTTTTCTTCCAAAACGTATTTAATGATCCTAAAAAACAAGGTCCAGTACTTTCCAGTTAGACTAAAAGAACTACCTTTCTTTGGGTTGGCTTCTTTCTTCACGGAAAATCGTCTGTTCTGTTGCAGCCATGAAGGAGATTGTTTTATTTTCCCAAAATTACTTCTTTTTCCGGGAAAATACTTTCAAACCAAACAAAAGATTCAGATAATAAAGAAGGACCAATTCTTCATCGAGACATCAGAAGAAGAAAATTCGATTGAAAAGAGTAAATATTTTTTAAGAGGAACTTTGCTCCGCCGTCTTACCGTTGGGAAATGACTAGATTATCACTCCTTTTTTGTCTTTCACCTTCACCTGGAAGGAGGGGTAGAAGGATAAATGTGGAATAAAACAAAAATATAGCATCAATAAAATCAGAGTTGATCAGAGAATGTAGGGTTAGCACTTTGCAACGCTCGTTAGTTTAAGAATGAGGCTTTGCTCTCAGGGAGGTGGCTGGTTTCTGAAGGGTGGTTGCCCCCCTCCTCTGATTGATAGCGGAGCCTGTGATTTCACTGACAAACCTTTATCCACAACAGCCCTTCAGTCTCTTCTTACACTCAAACATAAAATGTAACTCTCTTTCTCTCTCTCTTTACGATTGGACTGTGATCATCCATCATCAAAATCTCCATTACCAGCGACGGCTACTTCAGTTTCTGTTCTATTGTTTCTTCTCTTCTTTTTCTTCTTCTTCTTCTCTCTCTCAAAATGAATGCAATGAGGCTATGATGACTTCTTTTTGGCTTATAAAAGTTCAGGCTTTGAGGAAAAAGGCCGTAGCTTGGCGGGGCAAAAACTCTGTTTGTTGCAGCCACCGGCCTTGTTCCTTTACCTGTCTGACAAAAGGCGAATCTGAGCCTTACTTTCCCCAAGCCCTTCTCCCCATTTTCTCTTTTCTCCAGGTTCTGCGTTTAGTTTGCTTGGTTGGTGGAGGATACCCAGTGGCATATTTTAATGGGAACCCTTATTGCAATAGTATTGTTATTTGGAAGTTGAAAAACTATTGTGGATCAGTTGGGTGATTTTGGATGTGATGCAGAGTTGTAATTTCTCTGGCTAAGTATGAATTTTCATGGTAAAATTTTACTATCATAAAGTATATTTGTTTCCACCATCAAAGCAAAGATAAGAAGAGGCTATGTATGGGTCAGAGATTTACATTAAATTTATTTGGTATGAAAACTTATCCCAGTTGTTTGCCTGGTACAAACCATGAAATATTGAGCTAAGAAACACAAATCATGAAAAATTTTGCTGTAGAAAAACAGTAGGGAAAAAGAAATCAAAATTTTAGGAGTTAATAGTCATTAAGGTCAGTGTCCCAGAGGGCGTAAGGTAAGCGCCATAATTGCTGCTAGACAAATACCAAAATTGGCAGTAATCGCCATGCCACTTGAAGGAGAAGGTGCAGTTGCACCTGGGGAAGCCGGTGAAGCTGTAGATGATGATACATTGGCTACTGGCGGTAGTGGAGGGTCAACAACATCTTTAATCTCAAGCGGCGGATTGCGAGGATTTGCTGGTGCCTGTGCCGTGGAAGGAACTTGCTTAAGCAGTGCACCAGGTTCAGCTGGTATGACGGCAATCTCTCCATTGAGATCCACACACGGGCTCCCTGCAGCACCAAAGCAAAGTTATACACATCTTAGTTACATTGCGTGCTTATAATAAAACCATTGCTTGTTATGAAAAATCTTTGAGTTAGTAACTTTTGACATGAAGAAAATAGCACGAATTCAATTTTAATGGTCGAAGCACTCACTCATGTATTTGCTTGCTGTTCCAGGGAACTCTGTTATAACCCCATCAACTTCTTGTGCTGCAACATAAGTAGCAAGCTCTACAGTAGGATCCGCATAGAAATCAACTGGAAGTGCAACGAATTCATTTCTCAAAACAAAAACATATACCGAGATGTTTGCAGCGTGCATATGATCGATAACATTTGTTTGAGCCTTAGCAAAGCCATTTTCAGTTGAAACCAGGGAAGGTCTTGCAACAACAACTCCATCAGCATACTTCTTGATTTCATCTACTGTCTGTTTTGGCGCATCACCTATCTCCTCCTCAATGCGTAACAATCTTTTGTAAGCTGGGACACCTTGAAACTTGGACAGCACTGAACTGTCGTCTGACTGGATCAAGACTTGTTGAGTTTGTTGTTTGTCAAAGGTCGCATTACTCAAGGCTTTGGTAACAGAATCTACTATGTCAAGACCCTTGTTTGATGCTAGGAAAGCAGCATTCTGGAGAGGCATAAAAGTGGTAGGATTTTGCCACACAGATTAAGAATGAAAGCCGTCATAATTGATGTAAATAAATACAAAGTTCGACAGATTCCACCATAGTTGAGTGGTTATGGTCGTGGAGAAACGTGACGTGCAAGTCGTAAGTTAGGAACAAAGTTAAAATGTGCTCAATAAAGAAAGAAAAGGAAGAGGAGTGGCAGAAAAAAGAAAAATTCTTACTTCTATGTTGATCAAAATTCCAGAAACTGCCTTTGCCTTGGCAAACTCCAAAAAGTCACCGAGTGTCATGAATTTACCCTTGTTCTTGGCTTCAGGATTCCTTTGCAATCCAGCATTTTGTCCAAAAGGGCTAACCAATTGAGCTGAAGAAAGACAGATATACCATTAGTGGGAATGCTAAAAGATTATAAAATCAAACTTCTTGGACTGTATATAGCAAATATGTTAAAGAAGTTTACGCTTCAAGGTCTGGATCTCGCTCCATGTAAGATCAAATGAAAAAATTCCCTTATCCTTTTGAACTTCAGGAATGGAGGAAGAGCGAGACATGAAGGTAGGCATTGCAGTAGTATCCCCTGTCAGATCGGCTGAGTCTAAACAAAAAACTACTCCATCTTTTGACATTTGGACTGAGCAATCTATTATATCAGCTCCATCATTTACTGCTTGTTCATAAGCGAGATCAGTGCAACCAGGATACATCCCACTTGCTCCATTGTGGGTCATAATCAAAGCTTTCCCTGTAATAAGGAAACATTAGTACTACTTTTTCCTCAAGTATGATACTCTATTAAGGTTATAGAAAGAGAGCTTATTTGAAGGATTCAATCTTAGCCTTTACCTTTCTTGGGCTTGGCGGTTTCATTACTTGCAAAGCATGCTGCATCAAGAAGAACATTTGTAGGGGTTAATCACAACCTCAAATAGAAAAGTATTTAGGCTTATATTCATGCTATAATTGTTCAATTTGTTTTCACCGGTTGACTGACTTTTCTTTGATATATTTGTAAGAATTGTGATGAAAACCGAAAAATAGCACAACAACACAGCTGTTAATAAGCTCACCAATGGTTGTTGATGCTGTAGGGGAGAAATCTGTAAGCAGTCCATCAACAGAAAACTGGGGATTATCAATGAACTGCAAGTATTCAGTTGTTGGATCACAACTATAATTGTAACTTCCTGGCATATCATTTGCAAAACCAGAAGCATACACTTCTAAACCAAGCTTATGAGCATCAGCCACAAGAGTGGTAGGATTTCCCAAGTATTTGTTTGTATCAACAGGCCATATATATCCTTTGGGAACAAGAATTCCGGATGCAAATTGCTTGATGGCTGTAAGATCCTTCAATATTGCGCTATACGTTTGGTTGGTTGTAGGTTCAACTACATCTGGATCAAGGAACTTGAAGATGAGCTTCGTCCTGGCTTTGTTAATCTTTGTGTTCATGTTCTTCAAGAAACCAATTTCAGGAGATGAAATGAAATTTATGCCCATAAATCTCATAGCCTTTTCAAGATATCCTGACACACTGAGTTTGTGTTCTGTATAGAAAGCATCATACTGCAAAACAGAACAGACAAATTAAAGTAGTGATGACAATCAAAAGAAAAAAGAGCTGGGAGAGAAATATGAAACCTGAACATTCAGCCAAAACGCTGAGGGTCTAACTCCTGTGACATCCTCAACAGTAGATACTGGCAGTTGACCATCAAACACACTTGTTCGAGACAATACACTTTGAACCACTGCCAGGGAAAGAACATAACAAACAAAGCATAAGTACTTATTATGAAGTTTATACCAATTTTACTGCCTTCACCGTTCTTATTCTTCCATTGGATAGAGAAATAAGATATTGGTAACAAAATAGGAGGAAGATTTGAGACTTACATGACACATTGTTCAGTATTACATCAATTGGGTAATCCAAAGCAAACCAACCCCTAACCTGCTGTCCATTAACGGTATAGGTCTTAGGATCTTTTGGGAAGATCATTCCAATGTTTGTTGAATTGTCGAGCCTGATATCTGACAGGCATATGCCAATGCCATCTTTTGTCAGCTGCAGATTGCAGAACAAAGCCACTTCCGTAAATTTTAATTGATTGGCCATGTCATTTGCAAATGTGCTTGATTCAGGAAAAAGCCCTGAGAATCCACCGCGTGCAATTACAAGGGGTGGTTCACCTGGAGACCAAACATATTTTTGTTTAAAAAAGACATATTAAAATATAAATATATATATATTTATATATTTATATAAAGACTAGGAAGAAAAAAGTTTGTCACCGCTTAAAGTTAGCCATTTCTTGACAGGAGCCTCAGGCTCAGCAGGTTGATCTTGTTTTTTGGCTAAAGAGGCGTGGATCAACAGGGAAATCAAAAGCAAACACCTGATCATTTTTCCTGGAAATTTGTTTACAAGATTATCAGCTAATTCAATGGCCAATACAAAAGGAACAGGACATAAAAAGGCACAAAAACAATTCATATATTGATAAATGATGAAACAAATCAAAACTCATTCTTTTTCTTATCAAAGTTTTGATATCCAACACATTTTTCTTAAAAAAAAAGGAAAAAAAGAAGAAACCTGACAGGTCCTGATGCAAATCTCAACTCTTAAGGTTATAATTCAGAATTTACCTCAATCTAAAATTTGATAATAAAAGATTATTCAGACAACAGAAACATCATCATCATTAAAAAAAAGATCAAAACAACTTACCTGAACCTTGATTGATTATATGTATAACCAGAACACTCCCCTGTCAAGTTTCACATAAACCATGTAAGAAACTCTCACAGGGAATGCAATGCAATGAAAAGAAAAAGAAAAAAAAAAAAGCGGTAGGGAGAGATTAACCGGTTTCAAAGTTTTGTTTTGATAACTCCCCACAAATTTTTCGCATTAATAGCTGAGTCAGAATTTATGTAAGTGAAAGACCAGTTTTTTTTTCCTTCTTCTTTTCCCTTTTATATTTAAGGTGGCTCACAGTTATTTGCTATTCTTGTTCCTGTCATTTTGGACAACAAATGACTTAAGCGGGAAAGGACAACTCAAATAACCAAACTGCTTAACCGTTTTTTGAAACTCCCGGCTGCCTTCATCAAACCTTGTTTTTGGTTTGTTTTAGGATGTTTTATCTTCTTCTTTTTCTTTTTTTTTTTTTTATATTTAAAGCTTATACTAGAAAAGAAATTTCATGGAGAATTAATTAATAATTTTAAAAAATAATAAAATAATATAATTAAAAAACAACATGTAATAATTTTTTAAAATTGCCGGTGGTGTATAAAATAATAATTAGAGAAATTATTTTATAATAGAGTTTTTAGACTCTACAAAAAATATTAGTAATGTGACACATCTCTTAAAATATATTAAAAATAAAAAGTCTGTTAGTCTTTTAATCTTATTTATAAAATTAAAAAAATTATAGACACAGTTGCAATTTTTTATAAAAAAATATAATTTTATTGAATTGAAAGCATCCATTGCATTCTACATGGCTCTTTTTCTTCCCTCATGTAAAATTTATTTTGAATTATTCAAAATTATAACCCATATTTTATTTATTGTATTCTTATATTTTTCATGATTTATAAAAACATTTTATTTATTTATTTATTTCCATTTCTTATCTAAAAGAAAAAAACCCTTACATTATAATTCTTTCATTGGGCTACTACCATCCAACCATGCCGACCAAGCCCAAACTTCTTGAGTGGATTGGGTTTTAACTGGGCAGAACGGGTCCATCTTCAAAAGTACCCATAAAGCGAGATTCTTGTGGGACCAAAAAGATAAACGGTCCTGGTCCATCAAACTTCACGCAACCGCCTTTATTTTGTGTCGGCACATAATCAGATGCGCACCAGCCAAGCGATTGCAATGAATCAAAGAAGGCCTCGACTACAGCAGATCCTTATTCCCCACTCTCCCGTCCCTTTCCTCTTACGAATCTCATCGGCACAAAGTGTCTGCACGCTAAACCAAACAAAGAAAAAGAATTTTTTTCGCAGAGGGAATAAATTTTATTATTTATTATTTATTATTAATTTTTTGGGGGAAAATTGCTAGAGAAAGGGAAAGATGAAGATCACGTCGTTATTGGTGTTGAAGTGCAACCCGGAAGGATCCGATCCGATAATACTAGCGAACGCATTTGATGTGAGCCATTTTGGTTACTTCCAAAGGTCAAGCGTCAAGGAGTTTATCGTCTTCGTTTCTCGAACCGTCGCCAAACGTACCCCTCCCGGTCAGCGCCAGTCCGTCCAGCACGAAGGTCCGTCCTTTCGGTTCAACCCGATTTAACCTTCTTAATTTTGTGTTATACGATAGCATATGATTAATATCTGTGGCGATGAGATTAATAAACCGTGTTTGGATCTTCTAATTTTTTGATCTGTTCCAAAATATGCTTTTATCATAATTCGGATGCTTTTTTCTATCGATTAATAAAGATTTGACCTTTGTATGTAAAGCTGATTTTTTTTTTTTGTGGATTTTGTTTCTTTTTTAGGTTTGAGAGTATGATTTTGTTGATTATGATGTGACTATGAGAAATTATGATTTTTTTTTAATTCTAATTTTGTTGTTTGGTGATGTTCATGTAGAGTACAAGGTACATGCTTATAACAGAAATGGACTTTGTGCCTTGGGATTTATGGATGATCACTATCCTGTTCGAAGTGCTTTTTCACTTCTCAACCAGGTAAAGGAAACTAAGTGCAACTCCAATTTTTCTTAGTGTCATGATTTGCTTTTTGCTTCAGTGTCATCCAATATTATTGACTGCAATATCTGCTGTTTTGTATTGGTTGTGTTGAGTAATGTAAGTATAAATTTACGGGTTTCCCCTTACCTTTTGGTATGAACGGCCGTGTTTCGAGAAAGTATTCAGAAAGTATCAATGACAGTTAAAATTTTCTTTTACAAATGATTACTTTTTGTTTCATGTTCACTTGTAACTCACTCATGTTTGTGCCCATTGTTTGGCACATATGTTTGTGTTATCTGTTTTGTATTGTGGGTAGATAGATAGAGGTTCTGTTGCCCTTCTCTTTGCATATGATAGTGACAACTAGATGGGTGGGTGGAGGAAGATATTTTGTGTGTGTGTGTGTGTGTGTGTGTGTGTGTGTGTGTGTGTGTAATGCCTTAAGAGTGTAAGACGATGTCAAGAGTCTGTGGGTCACATGTCATTGCATTTGGTATGCATCTGTTTTTCATTGTTCTTTGCAATGATGTTGTGAAAATTTCTGTTAGTTTCTATCTTCTTTCGTTACTTTGATAAATTTCAAATGATACTATTTGGCAGGTGCTAGATGAATATCAGAAAAATTTTGGGGAATCATGGAGAACTGTGCAAGCCGATAGCGCTCAACCTTGGCCCTATTTGAATGAAGCTTTGACCAAATTTCAGGTATCTGTTTTCTTTCTCATGCATGTCTGCTGTGGTTTTAATGTGGCATGTGGAATTATACTTTTTAAATTAATCTCATAAGCTATTTTGAAAGGATATTAGTTGGAGCTTTAGAGGAGTTATTTTGAAAACCTTTTCTAACCCTCTTTCCACCTTCAGGACCCTGCAGAGGCTGATAAATTATTGAAAATTCAGAGGGAGTTGGATGAAACTAAAATCATCCTTGTAAGTATTTTGCTGTTGTAGTTGTTGCATAGATTTGATGATTTTGTATGCTTTCCCTTTAGCTTTCAGATATCATAGAATGGAAACTTCTTCAAATTTTCATTTTGTTGACAATTCATACTTGTATTGACTGTTGATTGTGTAACATGCAAAAGACATTAGATAGAAATTGTTTTTGCTTTAATGTTGTGATACGATGATAACATTTATAGAAAGATTTGTTTATAAATAGCAAACTAGTCATCACTAGGAGTAATGTTATGGAAACTGGTTCTGTACTTTTTTGGTTGGATGATAGGAGTACAATTTTTAATTCTATTGGTTTCTTAAGTTGTTCCTGTTTCATATGCAGTTATCAGGGAAATGAGTGGAAAAGTGCCAAACTGGGTTTGTTGATGTTATACTTATAGCCTATTGTTGTTGGGGAAAAGAAAGGTGTTGTGAATTATTCAAGTTTAGGTCATATCGACTGCCAAGTGGCTATTTAGATAAGATGAAAAGGTCCATGGTTAATGCTAACTGAAGTGTATTTAGGTTCCATTCTTTGCATATGGTTTGTTCAAATTAGTTCATACTTGTAAACATTGCTAATGGTTGGCGGCAATTCCTTGTGGAATTGATTACAGAACCATAGACATATTGTTTCATAGTTTGATATGTATGGCACTTCAAGCAATTATTGAGTGCCATCTGTTCATTTTCTCAACTTGAGGGTTTTAAAGGAACATTGGCTAGGTAATGGTTTAAATAGCAGCCTATGTTAGTTATCTTGAATTCTTTCCTTGTATTTTCTTATCGTCTGGTAATTTTCTGTCAACTTTTGCTGTTAAAAATGTAATTTGAAGATGAATTGTTGACAGAATTACTACGTGTGTGTTGGCATTTTATTGATTATTAATTCTCCTGTCATTTATTAAAATGATTATTTATGTGATGCAGCATAAAACTATTGATAGTGTTCTTGCACGAGGTGAGAGGTTGGACAGTTTAGTTGAGAAGAGTTCAGACCTGAGTGCGGCATCACAGGTACACGTGCAAGACCATAATCCCTTATGCATTCACCAACTTGCATGTCCATCTAACTCTGCTTTGCAAGACCAGTGTTTCTCTCCTCTTTTATCATGTTTATTAATAGTTGCCCATTCTAGTGTTAGCTTTTCTTTCTGTGTACTTCTAGAACTTTTTAATTGTCTTTACTACATGGTAAATTGATATCATTATATTTTGTCTTGAAATGTTCCTGAATATGGTGGGTATGTGACAATTATTGTCATGATCATCTGAATTCAATTGAGCAACCATATAATGTTGCTAACATTGAACCTAATCTTGGTTATTAAAACAGATGTTCTACAAGCAGGCTAAGAAAACCAATCAATGTTGTACCATACTGTAAACTTCTAGAGAAAGCAGCGATGCTGTGATGGCATTCACTTGTTTTAGGGTCTGAAGCTGGTGGTGACTGTAATTTGTTTATAATAGTTTATCAAAATTGTTTGTTTGTTTGAGTGGCATTCTCTTTCTGGGCATGTCTTTGGGATGCAAAGAGGAGCGAAACCAAAATATTTACAAGATTTTCATATTATAATACTATATATATTATCACTTGTACGCGTATTCTAACAAATAGTAGATCTTAATTCTTGTTTCTATGGATGCATGCGATTCTTATGTTATGCTACTATATAGGGTTTGTCTTGGCTTGTAAACATCTAAATATATATATATATATATATATATGTATGTATGTATGTATTATGTACTTAACACGCATTCTCAGGTTAGTGCAAGACGTGTTGTCGAATGCGTCATTTCAAACACCTTAATGTTGTTTTTCTCTGTTCATCTTATTTTCGTCCTGCAACTGGTGAAGTAAAGCTCATAGTAATTGCTCTTTTCTAGAAGGTTCCGATTAAAATCTCCAGCGACACATAAACATATTACAGAGTATTTGAACTTTATTCGAAAATCCTTTTTTATTTCACAAAAATTATTTTCCCAGTATAGATTTAAATTTCTGTGTATAAAATAACTGCCGTTTGTTTCTGAATGTGAAATTGAGCGTGTGATCAACTGGGCTACATTTGTAAGATAATTATGTTTCGGCCACACAAGTAATAAAACCAGTTAGATGCATTTTGACGCCCTCACCGGTCCCGCCCCCCGTTGGACCTCTCGGCTGCTATCTCGGTAGTTTTGAGCTAGATTTAATAATTTAATACTTTTGATTGGATAATTTAAAATATGAATATAAAATTGATATGAATAAAAAATATAAAAATATTATAATTTAAAATTTAAATAAAAATTATAAATAATTTTAATAAAATAAAAAATATATTATATAGTTTCATATTAATATAAATTATGATATATAGTTTTTTTATAATATATATTATAAATATATTAATTATTAATTTTTTTTCGATATAAATATATAAATATACAAATATCAGATCCAGCCCATAGCTAACCTAATGGCAATCAATGTCAACTGGCCCATGCTTAAGTCAATCATAGATAATTGACTGAAACTGCTAATGCTATCCAGTATCTGAAGCCTTGAAAAATGAGGAGCGGCTGGTTGAAAAAGCCAAAATGGAAAAAAGTGTACTTACATTTGTAAAATCAGAAGTACATGAAATTTCAGTACAAATTTTGCATGCCATAGTCAAAGCAAGTTTATTCGCATGCCATGATCAAAACAACTTTACTTATCCCTATTGCATTCATGATAATAACATATAGATAAGCATGCTGTCACATCAGAGAAGGGATGAGGTTAAAGATGGACCCTGATCATATTCAACCACCATCCATAATTGGTTTCCAAGAACCAAGTATAATTGTACACGTTTTATAATCCTTCTTCCATCATGCTTTTGCGTACACACCATGGCAAACTTGCATACAGCTAGATGAGTTCATGATCCAAACCATCAAAATGTACATAGTTCAGGGATATTGACAACAAGAACTTACATTCATACATCAATTTCTTTACAAAACAAACACAAGATGGAAATTGACTTTAGACTGCTAATTCTATGCTATAAACTGGATTTTGAACCACTATTTATTCGTGTTCTTCTATTAAACCATGCATATATAGATCATCATTCAGATTCCTACCTTCCAAATATGGATTTGATCCACCAAATGCCTTTGGTGTCCTTGGGGGTGTCCTCTCCTTCTGGTGGAGGATCGCTTTGTGGGTTCTTGTGCAGTTTGCTCACATCATAACCCTCATCTTTGGCCTTCTGCACCAGCCGATTGTAGATTTCATCATCCATTTGCGTCTGCCTGCATAATATCTACAAACATAACCCACAAATATTCCAACAGAACCGATCATCAGTAGATGCAACAATAATCACTGAAGCTATGCATGCCTCTATGGTAAAGAAAAATAATTATCCCAATAGAACAGTCGCTACATTTCTTGTCCTACATTAACACTATCTCTTCTCCCACTTAATTTTTTATCCTCTCCTCCCAAATCATCTAAATCAGCCTATATAATCAGTGTAATGCTAACATACTCCATAATTCCTACTGATCATATGCCTACATGCTGCATATACATAATTACAGAACTCCACTTCTGGGTTTGAATATGAGCTGATTTGAAATTATTATTAACTATAATTACTAAAAAAGAGATTGTGAGGGTAAAAGACATACCCAAAGATACTTCCTGCTAGGGTTACCAATGAGAGCATACTGATAATCATCATCAATGTACAAAACCCAGTAATCCCCAACAACAGGAATGATGGGCAGGAAAGGAGGAACATAGAATTTCACTTTCAGCTTTGCGTCATCACTCTTGGGATCAGCCTTGTAGGCAGAGCCTTCTATAGACACTCTTTTGCCATCAGTAAAAGTCTCATTAAGCACATGCACTGTCCCATCTTCATTCAAAATATAGGTAGCCCTTGTGTTCACCCCATTCCTAGGCTGAAATATTGATGGGAATGAAGCTATCTCGTACCACCTTCCCATGTATCTGCTGATGTCCAAATTCTTCACCACTTCAATTGTTTTCTTGGACATTGTTTTGGGTTCTTGTTTAGCTTGTAAGAAGATAGATTTTTGTCGGGGTTCAAGATAGTTAGTAATCTTCTTTTTGTTGATTCCTGATAAGGTAATATAGGGAAAAAATATTTGGTGCATTACAATGGAAATTCTTAGGTGAAACGTGGAGGACTAGTGGCCTTACAAGTGTACGTATGCATGGCTGAAACTACCGGATGCACTTGGAGGCTTCTGGGCCATCTATGGGAAGTAGGAACAGTTTCCAGTCACGTGATTGAAAAGAAGCAAACTTAAGGAGGAAGAAAACGAAAACACTGGAAAAGATATGGTAAGAACAGTCCAATTAGTCAGTATCAGCTTATCTTCACCTTTGGAAAGATCCAAATAGCACCTTTGGGCTTTGTCAGAACTCAATTCTAAGTAGTATAGAAGGACTTTCTTAAGCCACCAAAAAGCCCAAAATTTTGATATTGGGTTGGATCAAGTTGGGACTGGAGTCTAGATGCAGCTCTTCGGCCCATGAGAAGCTCTGATTATGGTATAGACACGAGTGGGATCTGCAGTCTGGACCAATCCTAATGAAATTTCTGTAATATTTTACTTGCTATCCTAACTTAAACAGAAGGAAAATGGCATTATTTGAAAGAATACGCTGTTAAGTGTAAATCATGTCCTAACAAATTTCTACTCAAAATTTAAAATTCTAGGTTGGGTTTATTTCTACACAAAAAGGGATGATGCAGTTTTCAAACGAGGAAAAAAAAAAAGAACTAGACTAGATTATGAGTAAGTGATTCGTAGTTTCCCAAGACGGATTTAATCCACCGCCATTGGGGGGCGGTTTTATCTCCTTCTGGTGGAGGAGGTTCACTTTGTCGTGTCTTCTGCAGGTTGATAAAACATCATAACCCTCGGCTTTAGCCTTCTGCACCAACTGGTTGTATAATGTTGGATTCCTATCATCGATATGATTCTCCCTGCATAATAATATCTACAAAAAGCAACACAATGAAAAAAACTGAGAAGAGAATCAAATCAAAATTGCATAAAAATACAGGTATATTATACAAAGATTTTGAGAGGGGACTATCATAAAAGCATACCCAAAAGATACTCCCTGCTAGGCTGGCCAACCGAAGCAAACTTGTAATTATCACGTATATATAAAACCCAATAATCTCCAACAATGGAATTTAACTTTGAGCTTGGCCTCTTTGATGCTGGGGTCAGCCCTGAAGCCACTGCCCTCAATGTTTGCTCTCTTGCCATCAGACCAAGTCTCATTCAGCACATTCACAGTTCCATCTTCATTTAAAGTGTATGTAACCTTTTGTTCATTCCATCTTTGGCCTGAAATCATGATGGGAATGAAGCTATCTCATACCATCGTCCCTTGTACCTTTTGATATCGAGATTCTTCACTGCTTGCATTTCCTTTTCTACAAAATTTGCCACAGGTTTTATAGAGGTTTCACTATATAGAGAAATTTTTGGTGCAGTGGAGATTCTGTTTTTAGAATCTGAATATAACTTGCCGAATGAAATTTTGATATTTGATTCCAAGAATAGCTAGATTTCATTTCTTAAGGAACATATGACCAGGTAAGGAGCTCCAGAAAAAAAAAAGAAAAAAAAATAGAGAGAGAGAGCCTGCACTAATGAAAAGGATGATTGGAACTGATAAAGAAATTCATAATGACTGCATAATAAACTCCTTTAAACAGTGATTCATGGGTCCTTTAACAAAGACGAGCTGTGTTAATCATGTGCTGCATTTATCTTTCATTTCTTTGGAATGAAGGTGACTGGCCAAGTGACATTTCTTTCATCACTGTTAACACAAGAAGTATTGAAAGTCAGTAGGTTGGTTTCAGAGGCCAGTTGGAATTCAATCTTGTTGGTGCATCTTTGATTTGATAATTGATCAACATCTAACCTCTATAAATGTTATGAACCCCCCAAGTTGAAGCTCTTAAAAACAAGAAAAGTTAAACCGATATTTCATCCAACTAAAAGAAAACCATTAATTGAATTTTAGCATACTGAAAACAATAGCAGTAATATTTATTGTGCTTGCCAAACTTCAGCATATTGTTTATAGCTGGAAAAAGAAAAACCTAAGTCTTATATGTATGGGGTTTAAGTTAAAACTGAGATGTACTCTTTGCCTTTGGTCAGTCTTTAATCCTTTAACTTACTAGTTTGCTTCTATTTTAGTCAAAAATCCCATTGGACAACCTTTTCAATGATCGGGACATTGATCCTGTGAGCCCCAAGCCTTGCAGTTGCAGTCATTTATTTTTTCCTTTTACAAAAGAGAGACCTGGTTTAATGTATAATAAAACAGACAACCTACCATCATTAATTTTTTTTCTTTTTGCCACTCGAACCTAATAACAATACCAACTAGTTATCCCTAAGAAAAACAATAATTTCAAAAAAAAGATTGCTGCCAGAGACGATGTTTTGCCTGCTATTCTTAGCATCAGCCGGCAGTTGGCAGCCAGCTGACAAATGAGAGCTATTCAACTCAATAAGGTTTTAGCACACTTCATGGTCCATAACCATCGATCTATGTACTGTGTACAAAGTATCATGAAATCAAAATTTTAATTTTTACCTTCCCCAACTGTTCTGACTTACAAAAGAGTTTAGCAGTTAAAGCCAAGGAAGCGGCAACCCAGAACCAGCAATTTGCTTCCTGTGAGTAAAACAATGGCTCCTTGCCTATCCGTTTTCTTTCTATTCCTCATCATTTTTTCTGCAACACTAACAACACCAGCCAATTCATTGCCAACATTTTTTATTAGACCTGCTTATCAGTCTTTGATCAAACAATCCAAGACTCTAAAACCAAAGCTTCCATTCAAGACTCATTACTTCCCTCAGACTTTAGACCACTTCACTTTCCAACCAAAGAGCTCCAAAATATTCTACCAAAAGTACCTAATCAACAGTCATTACTGGCACAATGGCGCTCCAATCTTTGTCTACACTGGCAATGAAGGAGACATTGATTGGTTTGCTGCTAACACGGGGTTCATGCTTGACATTGCTCCCAAGTTCAAAGCTCTCCTTGTTTTCATTGAAGTAATGTTTACAAAGCCACTTTCTCAGGATTCTATTATATGAGTTAAAAAAAAAGGTTATTTGGGACCTGGGAATAACTCACAGCACTTAAAATTGCTTCTTGGTCTTCGAAGACCACTGAAATTACATTGGTCTACTGTCACTCTATGGGTGTTTTCCCAAAACTGTCTGAAAGCATATCCTAAAACCCGTATCTTTTTCAAAACATTAATTTTTCGGTAACTTATTGTAATGGGTTTGCTTTTGTTGGGAAATTTTCAGCATAGATTTTATGGGGAATCAATGCCATTTGGGGAAAAAACGAACCAGTCAGCAAATACCTTGGGGTACTTGAATTCACAGCAAGCCTTGGCTGATTTTGCAGTTCTGATAAGGAGCTTGAAGCAGAATCTGTCATCTGAAGCATCTCCTGTCGTGGTCTTTGGTGGGTCTTATGGAGGAAGTAAGTTTAAAAGAAACCCCATATATAGGCTATAACCATTCATTTTCTTAGTGTTTTTCAAAAAGTTATTGCTATGATTTATGGATTACTATGAGCATGACTATCTTGCAGCTAATTGTTAGTAATAATTAGCAAAGAACATCCTTTTCCTTTACCTTCCTGATCATCACAGTAAAGAATTTCAAGGAACATCTTTCATTAAAGAAACATCTGTACTTAACTGGTGTGAATGCGTGATACTGCTATACTGGTAGTTGAAGTGAATTTATCAGAAAAAGGTTTAAATTGCTGTTTCTTTTTAATATCATTATTCCTTTCATTTTCTTATTATTATGAAAAGATTCTTTCTCGCAGTGCTGGCAGCGTGGTTTAGACTTAAATACCCTCATATAACAATTGGTGCATTAGCTTCTTCAGCCCCTATACTACACTTTGATAAGATAATCCCATGGTCAAGCTTCTATGATGCTGTTTCCCAGGATTTCAAGGTTATCTTTAGTTCTCACATAGTGATGAGTTTGTGCTTGAAGTTTACATTTCTTTGTGTTCTTCAATTCTGCTCTATAACTAAACTAACACGGGCATTTAGGATGTGAGCTGGAATTGCTATGAAGTGATAAAGGGGAGCTGGGCAGAACTGGAGGCAATGTCAACTCGGAAAGAAGCCTTGGCAGAACTAAGCAAAGCTTTCAGAACCTGCAAGTGAGTAATGAAATCAGGATTATATTCAGTAAACTTGTTTCTAGAGTTTAATTCTGATCATTAGATTGTTGTGAAGTGGCTTGTCTATGAATGGAGTAAGCCTTCATTTCATTTGTAGGAAAAATAAATGTATGATTTCATCATTTAATTTTGGTTTCCTTCAATACATATTTTGTATGTTGTAAAGAGTACAATAAGGAATTATATGATAATGAAATAGTAATTTAGGTGAAATGAGACCATTAGTTTAAAGATGGTACAATCCTAGATGGAGGTTAATAGTGCCACAAATTGTGACACGACAATTTCCATAAAAATTCTTCTTACCTTTACCCAAGTTGAATACCAGCAATTACGGCCAAGTTCAACATTTTTCCTGTCATGAAACAATTTATATTATGCAGTTTACTTATTTTACATCCTGATAATTAATTATTTTTCTTTCTTCAAAGCTCAGGAGCCTTCATTCGACAGCTTCTGCTCGAGATTGGCTATGGACTGCTTTTGTTTATACAGCCATGGTTAATTATCCAACTGAAGCAAATTTCCTGAAGCCATTACCTGCCTATCCTGTGCAGCAAGTAAGACTTGTAAATAAGCTGGTTTGTTGCAAGCTCTAAGCTTTAATATTTTCAAAGATCTCTTGTTCATTCCTTATTTTGGCATTTAACCCTTTATTTACACGTAGATGTGCAAGATAATCGATAAATTTCCGTCAGGAGCAACAAAGCTTAGTCGCACTTTCGCAGCTGCGAGCTTATATTACAACTATTCTCGTTCAGAAAATTGCTTTGAGATAGAACATGAAGTTGATCCTCATGGCCTTCATGGTTGGGAGTGGCAAGTAAATATTTTGCTTTGTTTTCTAATATAAAATGTGCCAATTTCAAAGGCTTTCAAGTTGATTAGTTTTCCGAATGATTATGCAGACATGCACAGAGATGGTTATGCCAATGACTCGCTCTAAGGAGAGCATGTTTCCTCCATCTGAATTTGATTATAAGGAGTTTGCAGAACAATGCCAAACGAAATATGGAGTTCTGCCTCAGCCACACTGGATCACAACTGAATTCGGAGGCCAAGTGAGTGTTTTTTTTTTTTTTTTTTCCATTTTTGCTCCTTGAATCTTACTATTGAGATATACCATTTTCAAGTTGTAGATAAACATGTCTTTTCTATTACTAGATTACAAGATTTGAACTTATTAATGTCTGTTGCCTATGCAGAGAATTGAGAAAGTATTGAAGAGATTTGGTAGCAATATCATATTTTCCAATGGAATGCAGGATCCATGGAGCAGAGGAGGGTAAGTTGTTAACTTTTTAAGTACTTCCTTTCTTCTGATTCATTAAACAGATAAGATGCACACTGCCAGGTGACCGTATATCCTGTTCCTTTAGCTTCTTAGATTACAATTTCCATTAGCCAAAACTAGCATCAATTTTCTATAAAGAAACTGAATTATGATTTAAATTATACAGTGTGCTGAAAAATATATCTGCCAGTATCATTGCTCTTGTCACAGAAAAAGGTGTGTCAATTATGACAAAGCATTTCTATTCTACATTTTGTTCACAACATTTGTCAATTGTTGTGAACTCAAGAATTTCTCCCATTGTTCTGTATCAGGAGCTCACCATGTTGATTTCCGGTCTGCAACAAAAGGCGATCCTGACTGGCTTATTCATCAGAGGAGGCAAGAAGTTGAAATTATCCAAAAGTGGTTAAATGAGTACTATGCTGATCTCAGACTTTCATAAATTAGTGACTTACAGAAGTTTTGATGTAAAACGTTGGCAATTTGGATCAATCAGTATTTTGAAACTCTTCTTACCATAAGTTTTTTGTCATCTAATTTTAGGTTCTCCCTAAGACTGATATAGAAATTAACCATTTATATCACCAAGCTATGATCACTCATCTTAGAAAAACTTGTAAAACTATTGCATTCCAACTTTTTCCAAGCCATCCAGGATCCAGGGTTGACTTGATTTACTAGTTACTGCTTACCCACAGGGGACCATTGCTCCGGCTTAACAGCTCTGAGCTGAGCCATGCCCTTCTTTAATCATGGGGCCTGATGACACGACAAATACGTGTTGGATTTTCCCTTCCAATTTATGATTAGTAGGAGGTTGGGATGTAAATGATATATTAGTATTTATAAATTATCATGATTCTATTCAAATAAAATTCAAAATTTATTCTATTATTATTGAATCAAGTTTAAATTTGAATAATTTAATTTATTGATCAAATCAAATTCGAATATTTTTTTTATTTGACTTGAGTTATTTACGAGTTTAATTAATTTTTTATATTTTAATATATTTAAATTATTTTAATTGATAAAATATCTTAAATTTGAGTTTAAATTTAAGTACAAATAATCGAATTTTTATGAATATAAAAATTAAATTTATTTTTATATATTAATCTAACTTAATTAAGTGAGTTCGAGTAATTCGATTTTTCTCTCGAATCAAGTTCGAGTTAAAAAAATAAAATTCGATCGAATTCAAACATCAAATTTAAAATCGAATTTTAATTCAAATTTAATATTATATCGATTTAAACTTAATTAATTATACTTTTACTTATCAAGAACAATGTGAAACTCACATCTTACGTGACATTTCTCAACACATTGTATGCAAAATTTATCCCAAAAAACATGTGGTTTTCTGTAGAGGATTGCACGATAATTTGAACTAATAATCTTAGTTCATATCTCGATATCTCTAATTATCTCTAGCGAATTTAAGTGGTCCATATTTATCCAGTTCCCACTAATAAATAGCCCAAAACCGACAGGACTTTAACCGGTTAGAAACAGACATGGACTTCATGAAATTTTTTAACATTCACTTGGATTTTGTTGGGCCTGGATAATTTTCCATTTTGTGCCGGTGAATTCACCTCAGCCTTTTAAACTGACTTCTTCAAAAACCAAAGGTTAAAAAAAAAAAAAAGAGAATAAAAACATTAAAAGGACGTTGAAACACTAGATTCATATTCATACCCATCAATCAATGCATCCCTTATTCCATAAAACAAAGAGTAAAAAGAGAGAGAGAGAGAGGGCATGTCACGGAGATCAGGGACTTGCCTGAGGTTATGTCTAGTAATATTTGCAGTAGTTTCAGCATTGGGAGTATGTGGAACTGTTCTTTATTGGAGATTCAAGAAAACTCTCAGATTGGGTGATCCCAAATCCTCATGTCCTCCTTGCATCTGTGATTGTGCTCCTCCTCTTTCCCTTCTCAAGATTGCCCCTGGTATTATTCCTTCCTTGTTGTGGGCATTTTATTTATTAATCAAATTTCTAATTTCTTTCTTTTTTTTTTTTCTAATTTTTGTGATTCTGGGTTGTTGCCAAATTTTGATTTTGATTGATTGTTTGTTTATTGGAGTGAAGTTAAGGAATACCCATTTGGGAAATTTGAGGCCTTGATCTGCTCTTGTTGCTAATTTTGCATTTTGAGCTTTGGGAATGTCATGTTACAGTAGTTGTTACCTGGTGACAGGGTACGCTCAAAGTTGGGTTTAGATTTAACTTTTATTCTATTTCAAACTCCTATTTCGTCAATTTGAGATTTTTATCTATTGCTGCTGCTAATTTTGGAGATATCAGTTTGCTTGGCTATTGACATGCAATAGGATGTAATTAAGTAAAACCATATTAAATTCAGATTTCTGCTTGTTTAATCATATATTGAGTCAAGGAATTTGGAGGCACTCGTTTTTGTTGTCATTGGTAACTATGGAACGCTAGCTCTCTACCCTGTCTCTGCTTTGTACCCAAGCTTTCTTCAAAAGTTACTGAAATGGTCTCTACATTTCTGGAATGACTGTTGAGATATCACAGCGAGTTATACTTTGTCCAGCTGTGTTGTTGAGCTTATCCAGATGAGTCGATTGAACTCAAGAATGAATCATTATTATATACATGAGTTGTCCGTGAATGATGGAAATTTATTATAATTCAGTAATTTCATTGATTAATATAAGTGATGTTGCACCATTGATCTTGCTTTTAAATAATTAACAACTTTCCAGAATATGAATAAATTTGGTATTGATCATGAAACAGCAGTTGCATTTGGGCTGCTTGTATTCGTTATAAACCTACATTGATACAAAATAACAAGCACAAAGTGAAAAATGTCGAAATTCTAGTGCCTGGCACGGGTGCTCAGAAGAAGGAGAGAACTTGTTACATTCATAGTCTGACTAGATAACTACATGAATTTCTATTTTCTTTCTTTCTTTCACACCTGAAATTATGCCTTCTTTTGTCTTTGAACAAGCTTACCTTGTAATCATGGGCTTGCTGCTGAATCTGTAGCTCCTTGTGCTGTTGGTTTCCTTGTTTTATGTGTTCCTGCCAAGTCACAGGGGCAATGATAGTAAAATTTTGTGTCATGTGCTCATGTGTCTGGTATTCAAAACTTTTGGTTATCTCTGTGAATTACTTATATGTTTTTTGTGCATTTTTTATTCTTTTGCAGGGCTGGCCAATCTCTCAGTCACAGGTTAGAGTTTATTCTATCAACTCAAATTGGTCAATGTTATGACTTATTTCTTTATATTCATCATTTTAATTTCTATCAAATCATTACCCTACTTCCTATTGTGCACTTTGTCCATTCATCTGGTGAAACCACAATCATGCATGCATGATATGAATTATGGTGACATAGATTGTGGAAGCAATGACCCTGATCTCAAGCAAGAGATGGAGAAGCAATTTGTGGACCTTCTGACTGAGGAGTTGAAGTTGCAGGAGGCTGTTGCTGAAGAGCATGCTCGCCGTATGAACATCACCTTTGGTGAAGCGAAAAGGGTGGCTTCCCAGTACCAAAGGGAGGCAGAAAAGTGTATAGCAGCCACAGAAACCTGTGAGGAGGCCAGAGAGCGGGCTGAGGCCTTGCTGATCAAGGAGAGAAAAGTTACAACAATATGGGAACAAAGAGCTCGACAAATGGGTTGGGAAGGGGAATAACTCTTTGTACAATTCACTTGAATATCCTGGTCTAGAATTTGAATCCTTCCACCTTGATATAATTCAAGTAGGCAAGCAAAGTTGCTTGAGTAGTCTTGTTTGGGCGAAAGGCCTTTCAATCTCCCCCCTCCCTTTCCTCCATTTGTAGCTGCCTTAATAACTTAAATGATACAAGTATCTGAAGAATTTTCACCTGTAACTGTCATACTGCTGTGTGGACCTCTTACTATAATATCATCTCAATTTCTTGGCTTGAAGCAATGTTACAAAAACAAGATTTTTTTCTCTTATTTTTGCATTAAACTTTAGTAGTTGTAATATCTTTTTGTTTTCTGCCTTGAATGAGTAAAGGGCTATAAATTTTGTATCTAATAGTATGTAAAAATGTCGTTCATATAATGTAAAATATTAAAATTCATGCATTTTTATCGTTTTTTATACAAAAATTATGTATTATAATTTATCATTTTCATGATTTTTGTTTTTATCTTATTAAATTTATATATAATTATTATTAAAATTTTAAATGGTGTTATTTTCATATTTATTTTTCGTATTATGTCATGTTATTGTGTCTTTGTGTTTATTTTTCTTATCGTGTTAACGTATATTGTTTTAATTTTAAATTATCAGGTATATTCTGGATATCAGAACAAAAAGGAGTAAAGGATTGAATTTTGTCAAAATCTCTTGCATATTCTAATTTTCCCTTTTTCCCTGAATATCCAAACAGAAAACAAACAAACAAGTCAGCAAAGGTAAGTGGACCCACTATTGACTTTCCCTAGGAACGAAAGACAAGAAATAGTCAAAACACCACATGCGTAGCAGTTGAGTTAAAGGACATCAGAAACATAAAACGCGGTTTCAAGCTTTCAATGTCCACCCATTCACTCTCAAAGTACAGCTGTGTTCTTCGTCAATTAATATTTATCACTAGCCAAAAATAAAATAAAATACTATAAATCTAGATCTACCCAAAACACACTATGCAAAAAACAGATCTTTCTGCCTTATAATATCAGTTTTTTACACCATCTAGATCTATAAAATAATAATACAATGAGGTCCAAACTTTGGGCCTTGATTTAGGAAACTTTGAGTTATGTTCTAAAGTTTCCTCTTTTAAGCTTCTTGGAATCCTTAGAACTATCTTGGGTTTTTTTTTTTTTCCTTTCTAAGTTGAAAGAGTGTTACTATAAAAGAGGAGTGGGTTAAGTTTCCATAAATGGAAAGTTCAAGGAACAAGAGAGGGTACGAGGAGGGTGTTGAAGATGCAGGCTACATTACAGCACCGAAGAAACCAAAATTACCCACTTTGGCAAGGTACTTGTTTAAGTTGATGGGTGCTTTTAATCTTGTTTTTTCTTTCTTAGAAACTAAGTTTTGCCGTTTCTGAAGTGCCTACGGTGAATTCGATGATGAATAGCTGTTATTAGAGTTTCTAACAATACAATACATATCTGATTACTTGAACTGTTTGAAAATGATATTGATCAGTTATGATAAACCATCAACAAAAAGCTTGACCTTTTGATTCAGGTTACTACAACAAAAAACCACAGTTCTTCAAATAGTTTTTCTTGACCACATGCATATCTGATAGTTTTTCGTGAGCTTACTTAACATGCTTTATATAAATATTTGCAAGTGTTGGATGTCGAATTTTCTGCAAGTCCATTCCTGTGATATACAAATTGATCTATACATATGCAGTGTAATTGTGGAAGCTCTGAAGGTGGATAGCATACAAAGACTTTGCTCATCTTTGGAGCCTATGTTGCGCAGAATTGTGAGTCAAAATGTTTCTTGGCAGCACTTAGCCATTAATGCAGAATTATTGCGTTTAAATTGTTGCGTTATAAGGATTCATTGACCCCTTCTTAGTCTTGTCTCAATCAAGTCTTATTTGTTGTTGTGTTCTCAAGAAAAAAGTTGGAGAACATTGCAGAATCTAGCTAAATTTGATCTATTTTTTCACTATAGTATTTATTATCTCAAGAGTTTGGATTCTGTACTCTTCTTTCATTTCTGTAAATATAATCCAAAAACTGTGTTAATACTGTCATAATATTGGACCGCGATGGCAGTTAGAGTAACCGAGAGCAGTTAAAGTTATGGCTTTATGTTGCTGCTTCAACTATTTGTCACATTGGCTAGTATCTGGAGGAATATAATGTTTTGCTTTCACTGCAGTAAAAGCACTAGCATATATGTGTTCTATCATGAGTCTGCTTCTACTGATTCTGCATTTTGAATGAATTACAGGTCAGTGAGGAAGTGGAACGGGCTTTGACAAGAATACAGAATGCTAAATTGACTGGAAGGTTTGTTTCTGCACCAATTTTTGGACATTAAAACTAGAATTTCTCTTTTATTCTCTTTGATCTTCATGATGCTCATAAATGGTACTGATATATATCCTGATGGATGTCTGGAAACAGATTTTGATAACAACATATATCATGAAACCTAGTTATTGTCCTAATGAGTTGTAAAGGGATATTAGAAATGTACCTTAAACAGACAAAATAGGTTGTCATATGTTACTAATGAATTGTAGTCCTAACTATAACAGGTGTTCACCACCGAGAATACAAAGTGCAGATGGAAGAAGTCTACAACTTCATTTCAGAACAAGAATGCCGCCTCACCTATTCACAGGTGGGAAAGTTGAGGGTGAGCAAGGAGCAGCCATCCATGTTGTTTTGTTAGATGTGATCTCAGGCACTGTGGTGCAAACCGGACCAGAATCAGCAGCCAAACTAAATGTTGTGGTGCTAGAAGGTGACTTCAACGAGGAAGCTGATGAGGATTGGACAAAAGAGCACTTTGAGAACTATGAAGTAAAAGAACGTGAGGGGAAACGGCCGCTTTTGACTGGGGAACTACAAGTAACCCTCAAGGAAGGAGTGGGAACTCTTGCAGATCTTACTTTCACTGACAATTCCAGCTGGATTAGGAGTAGAAAATTCAGGCTTGGTTTGAAGGTTGCTTCTGGATATTGTGAAGGGATTCGTGTGCGTGAGGCCAAAACAGAGGCTTTTTCTGTTAAAGATCATAGGGGAGAATGTGAGTTTTCCAGTAGAGCTTCTGCATTGTGATTGGTAGGCAAGTCTAGGAACATTACACGCTGCATCTCCTGAACAATAACCTTGTACTGCTCTTGTATTTGGCTTGAATACTTCTCCAGTTGTTTTCTCTGTTATATAACACTCCAGTAATCATCTTGCTTAATGCAATCAACCAGTTTGGTTAGGTGGACTTATTTCAAATACTACTCTTTATATATCTGCAGCATCTTCCTACAGCTTGTCATCGTTTGCTTGCACTATTCTGAGTGTAGTCATGATTGTTTTTTTCTTTTTTCCATTTTACATGCAGCGTACAAGAAACATTACCCACCTGCATTGCATGATGAAGTGTGGAGATTGGACAGAATAGCTAAGGATGGAGCATTACATAGAAGGTTGTTGAAGGCTGAAATTGTAACAGTTAAAGATTTTCTTCAACTTCTTGTTAGGAATCCGCAAAGGTTAAGAAATGTGAGGGATTTCCTTTCTCTTCGATCTCTCCCTTCCCCTCTCAAACGTCTTCATATAGACTTGTATTTACCAATACATTCAAGCTCTTTCTTTTTGTATTGATTGTTCTTAATTCCCTTCACATTCCTGATGTAGATCCTGGGAAGTGGAATGTCCAATAGAATGTGGGAGAACACAGTGGAGCATGCTAAGACTTGCGACTTGGGAGGAAAGCTTTATGTTTACTACAGTGATCAAACAAATAGCACCGGTGTTGTTTTCAATCACATTTATGAACTCAGAGGTCTTATTGCTGAAGGACAGTTCCTGCCTTTGGAATCACTTGACCACAATCAAAAGGTTAGATTTCCTTACATTTGCAATGCTGCTGATGCAAAAACAACTGCAAGCAAGAACAATATGACTAATTGACATGAAATTTTACCTATAGGTTTTTGTTGATTCCCTGGTGAAGAGATCATATGAAAATTGGCATCAATTAATAGAATTTGACGGTAAGGTTCTCAACACCCTTGCAAGTACACAGGAAACTGCATCAGTAAATGAGAACAACTACGATGCAGATTTCTACACCACTACTACTCAGAAGAGTAGGCAGCAGCATATCACCTCAGGGCCTAGTCCACAGTGCCAGAATAATAATACCCACCTTGCAGTCCATCAGTTGATTGAATTTCCCTTAGGAAGGTCTGATCAGAATGGAGTAATGACAATGAATAATCAAAAAGCATTACTACCTAGTAGCATGAATTACATGCCAATTGGAAACTCTACAACTAGGGTGTCAGGTTTTGCAGGAGATTGGTCTCGGCCAAGGGATGGGCATGGATTCGAAGATTTCTTTGCTGAGGAAATCCGGCTTAGGAGCTCAGAAATGTTAGAGACCGATGACATGCAAAGACTGCTGAAGACACTTGGTGTAGGTTTTGGCATGGGAGCTGGTTTTGGTCATTCAGATGAGGCTTGTTATACTTGCAACATTCCTTATGATCATCGGATGGACTACCCCTATGCCCAGGAACGTGGCAAAGGCTCAGGGAAGGCGGTTGTGGGGTGGCTTAAGTTGAAAGCTGCTTTAAGGTGGGGAATATTTATAAGAAAGAGAGCTGCTGAGAGAAGAGCTCAGCTTGTTGAGCTTGATTGACTCATCTGATGCTTAAACTTATTTTAATTTTATAGCTGGTTAACGAAGGATTGGTGCCTCAGCAATCATTAACCCTCATTGGCAACATTGTTGCATGATTCCAAGTTCAGCAATCTTTGCCAATATTTCGTAGGCATTCATCCGAGAAAGTTGATCATGACAAAAGTAAAAAACTTATGTATGTGAAGTTTGGGGCCAGTTCTATGTCATTCTCTTTGCTCCAGATGTATAATATTGTCATGCCTTTAACACGCAACAATAGGGTTTTTTTTTTATTAATTGAAGTTCAGATGAAGGGTTGCATATAGGCACGAACTCATGCCCTGAAAGTAATCCAGCATAGCTTGGTGAACTGTTTGGGCCAAAGCCCAGGTTTATCGAAATTATTAAGGTCCATATTTAAGGTTCAAATTCTGATGATATAAAAAATAATAAATAAGGGAAAGTGTCGCATAATCTATCCCTCAATACTTCCAAGTAAATGATGCATACATGAAGGGCTTCCATCCAAAATTAATATCAATTTTTTTTGCATGGTGAAATACTGAAATTTGAAGGTCTTGAATCACAGCAGGATAAATGCTTTAACAACAACTACTACCTTTGAAAAAATTATGAGAAACAAGATACAAATAAAACTAAGAAAAACTGAGAAACTGTAAATTTCTCAAGCTACCATTCCATCAATGTGTAAAGGACAAGAAGAAAGAATACCAAAAAGGAGGAGGATGGTGTCATCAATTTCAACCAGAAACAAATGGAGCAAAAGAGAATAAATTACATAATGATACAGACTCCCATAAAGAGGAGTAGGTTTATGCCTTTGTCACCGTCTTTTATCTGAGAATCAGACACCGTCTTTAATCTGAGAATCAGCATCAACTGTCTCATATACATGAGCCGAGGGGGAATGCATCAAATACAAATTCCCCATCCATCAATGCAGTTTCATTGTTTTGCTCCTGCAACAGAGATACAGTCATCTTAAAGAATCATTGCTCGCAAGGAATAAGTACATATAAAGGAAATTAGCCTACAAAGGCTAAACTATAAACTTAGATCCTGGGTAACATGAACGCCATTCCTCGCACTTTTGGAGACTTGAAAACTTTTCCTGTATATATATTAGAGAAATGAACATTTTTCACAATTCTTAAGCATACACGAATTTCACCGTTTGGCATTAATTGCAATAGTTAACTACAGAGACGGAAAATATAAGCATGGGGAAGACAGGTAACACTTTTTAAGGAAAAAAGCTTTATATCTTTATCTAATCTATGCCTAACTACATAGTGCTTACTATTGTGCATACTGTGCTCTAAAGAATCTCACATTCAACACCCACTTTAATTATGACATGGACAAGAAAAAGAAAACATAAAAAATGTAACTGATAGAGGCAAAGGAAGTTCTCTTTTCATACCGGTTTGATCATGGAACTCATTATAACCTCCAAAGATTCAAAATTATTTTGACTGAAACCATTCTGTGGCTTTGTCTGGTCGAAGAGGAAGTCCTCGTTGGACCTCAATTTTGTGTCGAAAGCTGATTTCTCACCCTGAGGGTGCTCAACAACATAAGGAATGCCACCACTTAGTTGGCTGAACAAAGAAACATCAGTTGTTTTACTGCTGATGGCATTGCTTTGGTCCATCATAGAACCACTTGCAGAAACTAGGGAGTCTACCCTGTGGAATGAATGATTTAAATTTCCATTATAATCCTGTCTGTGATCTCCCCACTGTTGCTTTGCTGTGTAATCTATATTCTGAATGACATTATTTAGACCCACTTGGCACTGTGTGTCTCCTCTAGAGTCCTCCAAACGGGCTGAATTTGCCACAGAAGAAGAAAGATCAATAGGGCTGTTACTAAGGTGAGAGTTCGTCCAAGAGATGCTTTCTTGCAAATTATTAGTCGGCAACTGCTCATGACTGAAACCTTCACTTGTCGACAATGAACCTGATGGTAAATTAGATAATTGAACTGCAACCTGCCAGTTTTCACTGCATTTACCATGATCAAGAAAATTAGAAGAACCACGAACACCCACGTCAAATGATTCCTGATTCAGTGATGTCACACCAACAGATGGTTGATTTCCAAATGCACCACTATGCTGAATTTGTTGTACGTTTGCTTGCAACAACAAATGGTTGCCCGAGGCAGTAGATAGAGAATTGCTTGAACTACCAACTATCATTCTGGCATCTGGGAAGTTAGTAGCAACACCAAAAACATTTGGATCATTAACACGATTAAACTCTCCAAAGCGGTTAATGGACTTGTTCTGTGACAGTTGGTTGAGCTCTATTGATGTTGGGATCCCTTGAATGAAAGTTCCATTTTGATTCTGGTTTGCAGGTAACACAGCTGGCTGGATCTTCCCAAGACCATTGATGGAATTGTTCAAGGTTTGAGAATGACCCGGTTGAATAACACCAGAAGAAATCCCACGTAGGCTTAAAGCAGCTGAGGAGTTCAGTCTACCAAACATTCCACCCGGTTGATACGATGATATAGAAGCAGTTGAAAGTCTTCCAGGTCCATTCAATGAGCGAAAATCTCCAAAGCCATCCAGTGAACCCATACGCAAGTAAGAAGGATCTTTACTGCCTAATGCAGCGGCCATGTTTGCTTGCTGGGTTGCAACACTGCTGAGTCTTTTAAGGTAAAGCCTATATTTCTGCAAGACAACAAAAGACAGTAAGCCTAAAGGGGAGAAAAGTACCCAGTTAAATAACATTTTTGCAAACTTTGTGATTCAAGTATCTGCAATTCTCCCCGTGTGTATGGCCCAGCCTAGCTCCTATCAGCTTGAATTGGAGTTGAAATAACTTCATAACCTATGAGCTGATTCTAATAAGGAGTACAAAGGTGAGGAAACTCTCTGTATTACAAGTAACTACAGCCAATTATATAGGAGGTAATAACGTAAGTGAAGCTTTTGTACACACCAGATTTGCTACTGTATTTATTCAGCTATTCTCAGGAGAGTATCTAAATTTTCTACAGAACCTGCAACCTCTTAACTGGATCCAGGTCTACTTAAAACTTTAACATGCATCCTAATAATTGATAATTGTTGCAAGGGCAATATATAAGAAATCATAATGCAGAAGTAAAAAAATAAAAAAAACGGAAAGAGGTTTACCTGTAGATGGCTCGCAACATTTTCCCTTGTGAGCCCTTCAACATTCATAAGATCAAGAATTTTCTTTGGAACAGCCTCTGCATTCGAATAAAGGGAAAAGGAAAACTAACATTACACATGTAATCGGGAAAACTAAAATTAGACATGTAATTGGGCATTAGGATCACTGTGTCGAACTATAAGACACTAATCTCAACAGCAGAACACTCACTGTCAAGACCCAATTGGTTGACAGCTGCAACAAACTTCCTGTGCAGCTCTACAGACCAAACAACTCGAGGCTTCTTCTGGTTTGAGGGGTCCTCATTCTCATGTCCATTATCTTCACCCTCTTCTTCCTCATCTTCACTTTGGTCCTTTCGCTTCTTATTGACTTTTTGGTCAGAACTGCCCGTTGATGTTTGACCAGCTTCTCCAGTCCCTCCCCCAGCCTTATCGTGATTTGGGGCCATAATTTGATCCTTAGAGTCAGGTTTCTTTCTTCTGACCACATGTTGCCATATGTTTTTTAGCTCCTCAATGCGAACAGGCTTCAATAAGTAGTCACAAGCACCATGGGTAATCCCTTTCATTACAAGCTTGGTATCGCTGTGTGCTGACAGCACTGGAATTCATTAAGAAATGATATTAAATCATTCTGAAACAATTCTAATATATTACTCAAATTTAGCAAACCTAGAATAATTATGGTTTTAGGAAACTACTGAACTTTAACCTTTTAAGGGATCGAAGAATGACAAAAAATATGAGAAAGTGCATTCATTCCACAAATAATTCAAAAGAGAAAAGGGTGGAAAAGAGCAAAAACAAATGAGTATCATTCAATGCCATTAATTGGAAAAAAGGGCTAACGCTTACTGATTACAGGTAGGTCCATTTCAAGCCCCACAAGCTCAAGAAGCTTAAAGCCATCCATATCTGGCATATTAACATCACTAATAACCAAATCATATCTGTTTTTGTTTTCCCTCAACATTTTGAGGGCTGTGATTGCCTGATTGGTCGTAGTAACTGCATAAAAAAGACATAAATTAAATGTCATAAAGAAGCACCACGTCTTAAGAATGTTAAGAGTCAAAACTTGCATACTACAATTATAAAGATCCAAATCACATGCACACAGCAAAGCACAACAGACAGATCTTGCTGACAGAAATAGTGTGTAATAGTTGACCAGCCACACAATAAACCGAAGAGAAGACTCGAAAATTTCAAATTCAGAACAAAGCCTTTCGCAAAAACACGAAAATTTCGCAAGAATTCAAAAGAAAAGAAGGACTAACCTTGATATTGGCATTTACGAAGCAGATTTTCCAAGACTTTAAGGCAAATAGGGTCATCATCAACGGCTAAAACACGCATGCCAACTGGAAACCGGTCCTTGCCGCCATCCTCACCAATGGAACCACCCATTTTCTCCTCCATGGTCATTGATAAAATAAGCAATCGAAACAACCCAGATAAGAAAACAGAGCAAAAACAGAGATCACAAAGCCAAAGTTTTCAATCTTTTCAAGTTTATCCACTGCTTTTAAAACTTCAAAACAAAACCAAGAGAGCCAAAACCGCTTAAAAAGAAAAAAAAAAGTACAAAGACAGAGATTGAAAGTGAGAGAGAATTGGAAGCGGAAACTGTGAAAAAAAAAAAAGAGAGAGAGCTTTGCAAGTAAAAGCTGTAAAAAGGGGGCAATGATGTTGATAGCCAAAACAGACTTAAGATGTTTCAACCCTCCAACCAAACAGAAATCTTTGTTTTTTCTCTTACAATTTTTGGTTCAACACTCTGCTTTCTCTTTCTCAGTTTCGTTTGTTTTTTTTTTTATGGGTTTCTTTTTAACTCCTTTTCTCTCTCTACTTTGTATTTGTCTTTAGCTTTTTCTTGTCAACAGAACAGAGCATCCCTCTTTTAATGTTATATTTTATTTATTCTTGTATTCTTTTAAAGCTAGGTTTTTTTTTTTTTTTGGGTGTCTGTGTTTTTACAGTGGTAAGTCGTAATGGTAATTTTCATTTTTACTTCGAGCAATGCTGGTAAGTCTTAATGGTAATTTCATTTTTACTTCAAGCAATGCTTCAAGCAATAATATTGTAGAAACGTTATCTAGGCCTCCATAAATAGATCTTACCATATCGGCCGTATGATTCAATCAAATATGGATTCTCGACTGTTAACTTGGGTTTACCCGACACAATTTAACGGTGATGGGATCTTGTAATTTTTAACTGTTAAGTGTGGAGTAATATATTTGGCTTGACTTTAAATATTTCAAATTTTAAAAAATTAAAATTAACTACGAAAAAGCTACATTATGAAAAATTACCATGAAAATCTAAACAAATTATGGTAAATTATTTGGGGCCTTAAATACTAATTGGCATCATTTTAGGAAGCAAAAATTTCCTTCGACAATCCCATTATTTGCTTTGAAAATTTCCATGTTTAAATAAACCCCATAAAGACACCTTCATCCTTTTTTTTTTTTTCTCTCTTTAATTTTCATCTTATTGATTAAGATTAACAATCCAACTCATATTCATCAGGTTTCAACCTGACTTGATCCTTAAAACTTTTTTTTAAATCGACTTTTAAATCGGATCAAAATGATTGAATGTTTAAAATATATATAGTTTAAATTAGATTAATACTTTGATATTAAGTTTGAGATAAACAAAAATTTATTCTCTTTTAACTTATTATCATTTTTATTATTAACTTTGACAATAATCACAAATTTTTAATAAGATTAAATTTAATATTTATTTAATTGATTCATATAATTAATTTTAAATAATATTTAATAAATTTGATATTCAAATATTAATATTAATCTCTTTCTTTTCTCAAATTTAAACTTCAATTGGATTAAAAAATATTCTAATATGATTTAATTACAGCAACAATATTCTAACATATAATAAAAAGATATATTTTGTAGTACATATTTCAATTGGACAAATCTAAATTTTTAGTAAAAAAAGGTCTTATTTCAGTTGAAATTTTATGTTTGTAATCAAGTTATGAATCTTAATTCTTGTCTAATATTTATTTAAAGACTTCTTATTTCTTAACATTTGAATAAAGCTAAGTGGAAAAATCAAACTCCATGATCACTTCAGAGGCCATTAAAGGATGAAAAACAATTCTTTTTAAAACCAAATTGTTCAAACAATCAATCTACTATAAAATATGTGTGTTTTACTCATTAATTGTACTTGATTTTATTATTGGCTAATCATGAGCACATTCATTTGTTTAATTAGCTCTTAATCAATATTAATCTATTTGGATATGTTACTCGTGTCTCCAACCTTAGTCATTTTTCGGCAGGGAAGCTAGCTAGTTGATATCCATGATTAAGCTAATTGCAGCCATTCTAGCTAATCGAAATTTTATTATTAAATGAATTTAGGATTTAATTTATTTAAATCATATAATTATTTTTTAAAACAACATTTAATAAGTCTATAATTTAAATCTTAGTACTTATAATTTTTTATTATTAGATAGTGATTTTTTTATAAAAAATTTATTATATAATAAAAAACATTGCACATTTCACAAAATCATTTTATTTGTTAGCTTTTTTTTTTTTTTTGTGTTATTCTTTATATATACTTCCTCGTTTTCGATGTTTGCTCCTTAATTATTTCCTTTTTATTATGTTTGAATTTTCTCCAATATACTAGTATTTGATTAGAACTAGCTTATGAATCTATTAAAATGTGTAGAAAAAATATATATATATATATTTATTAAAAAACAGCTAAAGAAAATGTTGATTTTTGAAAATCCCATTTCCCTTGGCCTTGCTACCAAAGGTTGCATTAAAAAAAATCTGATCTGATAGCAACAATTAGAAGTTGCATCCACGAAGTACAAATTCAACACGTACGTTCACGATTTTTTTTTTTTTCATTTGCTTTTTTTAATTCCCTCAATATCCTCCTTCCTGTATGGTACATTTTAAAATCATTCATTTTTTCTGATTTCCTTCAAATTCAAGGATTAATTTTTTTAATTTGAATTTTTTTTATGATGGTATTATTGGATGTCTTAACTAGATGTGTAATCGAGTCGAATTGAACTAATACAGTTAAAAGCTCGAGCTCAAGCTCGACTCTTAACTCATGGCTCGATACTCAACTCGAATTTGATCGAGTTTTATTTTTTTAACTCGAGTTCGATTCGTGATCAAAATCGAGTTACTCAAGTTCATTTGATTAGGCTCGATTCATATATTCAACAAATGCTTGATTATTGATGCTCGAGCTTGAGATCTTTTACAACTATTTTTTATCAAATCTAATAAATATTATATTTTCAAAATAATAATAATAATAATAGCAACAACAATAATAATAATAACTTACACAACAGCCAAATCCAAGCAAATAAAAGTCTCATCAAATTATTTAAATACAACATACAAATAAAAGACATAATGAAACTTAGAAACTAAAGTCCTAATTGAAAGAAATTAAATATCCAAGCAAATAAGTCCACAAATAAGTTAGAACAAACCAACAACAATACATATGCTGCCTTCATAATATTATGTCTTCAAATAAACATCGGACTCATATTGTTTTTCAGCAAACCTACACAAAAGAATAATTACAAAACAAACAAATTATAATTAACAATAAGAATAATAGTAGAAGCACCCATGTAAAAAAAATTGTGATATCATTGCAATGATCAATAACTTTAAATTTTTAACATTAACATCAACATGGATTGCTTCTTGTCAATTGTCTTATAATTAAAGCAAAAAATATAGACAGTGTCTTATCAATTACCTTAACATGAGTTTCTGTCATTAGTTAACATATGGTTCGTAAATTATAATACAAAAAGCTCAATCTAGACTAACTACCACTTATTTTTCTTTAGTAATGTTGCGACAAATTAAATATATTTAGCAATAATATTTCATACCTGTATAGAAGATATTAGATATCCTCATTTAAGTGGATTTTGAGTGCAATCTCAATTGATTTCTTCTCTTTCCATATACATAAAGTAAAGAAAAATAATAGTTAAAAATTAGATTAAAACAATAATAATCACCCAATTACAAAATAATAAAAAAAAAACTCACTTTATTATTCTTCTTCACTCTATGAAGATTTTGACACCAATCTCCTTTACAAAATAATGCTTGCACCGTGTCATGAGCTAAAGAAGCATGATAAGTATTAATAACTCTACCTCCCCCAATAAAGGTAGCTTCTGAAGCCACTGTCGTGATAGGAATAGTAAGTATACCTTGAGCCATCTTAGATAAAATATGATACTTCAAAATGCTCACTTTTTACCATTCTAAAGCATCAAACTTAGTGGAATCTCCTTTACAGATAAAGTAACCTTCAGCTAAGTAGACATCTAGATCAGATTGTTATGGTTGAGTAGTTTCAACTGATTTTACATAATTTATAAATTCATACTAACCAGAAGAAAAAGCTTCTATATTCATACCATTAATACCACTATCATACACTTGAGTTTTAACACTATGCTCATTGCCAAATTGATGCTCATGAGCATATTCTTCATAAATCTCATAAAGAGCATCTCAAACTCTAGCAATATTTTCTCTTGCTTCTCTATCAGGGTACATTTAAGGAAAGCAAAACTCAACCACCCTTATTTTGCACCTTGAATCCAAGATAGCTGATATAACCATTAAAAAATTACATTTTCTCAAATACTTATCAAATTTACTCTTCATTTTGTGAACCATTACTTGAACAAATTCATTTTCATCATTAATCTTTTTATCCAACAATATTTTCACACGATAAACTTCATTCAGAAATAGGTTTGAAGTTGGACAATCACTTCCAGAGATTATTTTAGTGGCTGAATTAAAAACTTTTAAAATCTCACAAACTTTTTTCACCTTTTTCCAATCTTCATGACTTGGACAACATTCATAATGAGATTCTCGTAATTGAGTCTTAGAAACACTTTTTTGAATTTGATTATAGTGGACAACATCTCGAATGTTGAATTTCAACATGTTTTACAATCGAGAATGAGTTTTCTATTAGGCAACTGTAACTGTTGTACTATGTCAAAAAATGTGTTAAGTCTTACCTCATTCTGATTAATAAAACTGACACTTTCATGAACATCACCAATCACATTCTTAATCTCAGAAAGACCATTTTAAACCATGAGATTTAAGATGTGTGCACAACATCGAACATCAAAATAATTTTTTCCCACAAATTAACCTTGTATTTCTTGAAAATGTGTTTTTAAAAATTTTAATAGCCACATCATTGCTTAAAGCATTGTCCATAAAAATTGTAAATACCTTGTTTTCAATTCCCCATTCTTTCAGACACTTAAAAATACAATCGATAATCTCAACACCGCGACAAGGATGAGGTATGTGAACAAAGCTAATAACACACTTTTGTAATCTTCAATTAGAATCTATAAAGTGTGTTGTAAGAACTATGTACTCAATCTTTTGATTACTTGATCTTCACAAATCTATCATCAAACTAATCTTGCTGACAATCTTTAATAGTGCCTTTAGCTTCTTATTTTCTGCTTTATACACTTGCATGCAATCTTTTTTAATAGTATTATGTGATATCTTTTCTCATTCAGGCATCTCACATTTTTATATCATGTTAAAACTTTTTTTTTTTATAATCGAAAAAGGATGCTTGTGCATGAGTATCCAATGTGCAACTGCCTCTCTCATCTTTACCATATCAAACTTGTCATCTGTGAAAACAGGTAGTATCTGTACATCATCACATGTGTCTACTGGCTGAAAGTTGATAATTTATTGTTGATTTAAAAAAACATTTCGTTTAACACAAGTTATCAAGTGCTTCTTAAATTGAGCTGTATTTTTACTTGCATTTATTGC